AATAAGTTAGAACAAGATATAATCATTTTTCGAACAGCTACTGTTTACTTACGATATAATTTTTTTTTTCAAATCGTTTTTTTTCGTATTTTGATATTTAAAGTGCAAAAGAATTCTGTAATTTGTAGCAATATGTAAAAAGAGAAGCAGATTTGACATTTTGTAGAGCAAGTTTTGCTCTAGAAGCTGATGTATAAAAAGATTTTTTTATAGTTTAGATAAATGCAGTTTTGATCAAAATACAAACATGGTCTTCATGAAAAATTCTGTACAGGCATTGTTTTTGATCTTCGCCAAAGATTTCCTTTTAATAAATCAACTTTACGTCAGAAAAAAATTCTGAATATATATTTAGAAAGAACGTAAAATTCTCATTCTAACTGAATACTTTTGATTTCCTCCAGCAACTTATAAGTAGACAAAAATTGAATAGACATGTTGTGCAAAGATATTTTATACGCAGGTTACTTGATTATTTTTTTTCTCTAGCGAGAGAAGGAATTTTTTTTTTAAATATCTTAGAAAGTATCAGAAAAAAACCAGTTGAACAACAAAACGTATGAATTTTTCCGTTAAAAAGCACTTAGCAAAATTTTGACAAAAAGTCTCGAGTTTTTGGGAGGACACGTCGGCCTTCTCCAAATCATCTTCATAATCGGGAGGCTTGTCTCATTGTTTTGAATATATTTTGATTAATGATACATTCCCTCAGACAACATTATAATGACAAAAAGACATTATATAGTTACTTCAGTCTGTCAAGTGTCATTATTAGATTAAAGAAATTGAGCAAAAATTTTACTATCTAAGATTATCAGATATCAAGTGAAAGTGTTTTGCGATTAAAATTCCAAAATCCTATCGGCCCAATCCAGATTACCAATCCGATTATTGTGAAACAAAAACTAATTTAAATCGATCGACATCAAATTCTTTTATGAATTATAACTATTTTCAATCGATCTTAAGAAATTTTAATCGATTAGGGAAAAATTATAATTCATTTGGCAATGAATCTAAGATTCGTTGCTGATCTACTAGCGAGACTAATGGAAGTTCTAAAAGGTCTCAAAACACACACTTGAGCAGATTTCATTCTAGACGTTCTGAGAAGTTTTTGAAATATGAAATACATCCAACAATGCTTTATTCATTGAAGAATTGAACTCACATCTTCATTACCAAAAAAAAATTAATACGTATTGAGTTATTCATACTTTGTGATCTTAGAACATCTAGAACAAAATCTACCTATGTGTGTGTCTTAAGACCTTTTAGAATTTCCGTTAGTCGCACTAGTAGATCAACAACAAATCTCAGGTTCATTGCCAAAACGTAGTATTCACCGCATGTTCCTACGTATCATTAATCAAAAGTTATTCAACACACAATGGAATACACTATTTTTTGATCTTGATATGAGTATGAAATTAGTAAACAAAGATAATATTTTTATAATAGAAAAGGTAAAAGCACAAGATCAATTTATTAAACTAGATGAATGGTAACCGATTTTGTTGAAATAACTGGAAATTTCTCGACTGGAAAATAACAAAAAGAATCCTGATGTTTTGTAGGCATATGAATGCTTGATGGTTGATTAGTTGAATAAGACTGGATCTACCATCATAGTCTCTATTAGTGAATTAAACATCTTGCACAAAATCGATACGCGTTTTTTTTTATTTTCCTTCGTAGCTTGTGATCTTTTATTAGATTTGTGAAATATAAGCAACGTAAGCAGAGCCAGGCAAATCAAGTCGAAAATGTCCCAAATCCAAGTCATGTCACACTTTACTTGGCAATAAAGGTAATTAGTTACCGCTACGTTACCAGATAACGTAGTAAGAAAAATTTGCGATTTTGACTTTTTCATCAAGGAACGCCTATTTTTAGAAAATAATGACTTACTATAAAGTTTGATTAAAAGTTTTCGGAGTTAAGAAATCCTAATCTCAATATGATTTCTCAAAATTTGTGAGTAAGATTTTCGGTCAAACTTTATAAAAAATCAGTATTTCCGAAAAATAAGCGTTTCTTGACGAAAAATTCAAAGTTGCAAATTTTCCGTTATCCGGTAAAGGGTAACAGAACTGGTCGCTAAAGATAACTTTTCTTTCCTACCTGGCAATGGTTCTGACTTCACTTGACTTGAATTCTTATATCTGAGTAAGAAAGATAATTATCAACTAAAGAAAAAATGTGCAGCTAAATATTTGAATTCATATCGAGTTATGTGAATTTCCGACCTTTTTTTTCATCTGGTTATGGATTCAGAATGGTATTATGGATATATAAATGATACTGATAATAACCGGGATGAAACAAAAGATCGGAAATTCACATAACTCGATATGAATTCAAATATTTAGTTGCACATTTTTCTTCAGTTGATAGTTATCTTTCTTATTCAGATATAAAACTTCATTGGATTTAGCTTGCAATACTATAGGTAACTAAACTACACTAGCTATTCATATATTTATGGTTATGAATTCGGTAAAGGTACTATGAATATATAAATAAGTCTGATGATGACCAGAATGAAGGAAGAAAAGATTGAAAACTCACGTAATTGAGTATAAATGCAAATGTTTCGCTGTAGATTTTTCTTTAGTTGACTTGAAAAAGGCTTGACTTGGCCAGCTCTGAACTTAAGCAAGTTTTTTTTAGGCATAAAATTTCGTTACTTCAATCATTTAAATATCAAGGAAGAATTAAAAAATTCAAAGCAATTTTGTCAAGCATTATCTATGGTTGAAGATTTGATTGATAATGATAATTTATGTTGCTATTATTCATATGTATGCAATGCTGATTTACGTTATAAAAATATCTTTAATTTTGAAGAAGCAAAAGGTGTTATTGAAAAAACAAGGACATTCATTATCGATCTATGCAACCTAATCGAGTTTACAATTTTTATTTTGCCGAATGAATATTCAGTTTTTCGTGGTGATCCATTCGTGACTCATCAATATCATGATTATATTATAATAGATGAAACGTTAATTAATGGTTTTCGTGAAAGTCAAACAGATTCAAATGTTCAGTTCCACATGGAAGTTTTCTTCGTATTTGCTAAAATTCTTCATGAGTTGGGTCATGCATTGTCATATCACTGTGGTCGTGTATATTTGACAAATGAAAAAGATGTAAGGAAGAAATTTGAAACACCAAAGACACATTGTTTACAAGGTGAATCTGGTAATGCAATTGAACGTTTATTATTTGGATCTGTAATTGATGCACCTGGTCAATTACGAAAGGATAAATACATTATTCAATATTTAATATTATCAGATGGTAAAATATCAGGTGTTATTGACAAAGATTGGATTAGTTCATTTGTGAATGACGCTTTCAATATGCAAAAATTAAGAAAAATTGATTCAATTGAATCTATACCATTTCAATTTTTAACAAAAATTTTAAAAAGAAAACTTGAATGTAAATCAAAGGGTTTTCAAACAAAAAGAAAATGTTCAAACCGCAAAAGTTTAGTTCTTGATTGGAGTGATGATGACGATACTGAATATGAACTGAATTCTATATTTTTTAAAGTGTAATTATATAATGAATCTAAATTTTGATTGTTCGATGAATACATTTAATAGTAAAAATTAAAGAAATTAACATTAAATAAAACATTTTTTACTTTTGACTAGTGATGTTAATTGTAGGTAACGAAATGTTTCAAAAGTAAAAAATGTTTTATTTAATGTTAATTTCTTTAATTTTCAATATATAATCATGTATTTTTCTCTTGTATAATTCACTATTTTTTTTCTGTACACATTAGTGTTACTGTATTCATCACATGTGACTGTCAAAAAAGCTTATACAATTGTCTCTTCTAACTCTTTTCATTTTTATGATCTTTTAATGACATATGAGGTATGTTTGGTGGACCTTTATATAAATAAAATTGTCATCGATTGCTATCAATAGTCATTCTCACTGTTTGCGTATAAATATCAAGAGTTTATGATGTTATGGATATGCATTTTGTTGTTGATACTCTTGGAAAGCTCTTTTTTTTCTAAACCTAGAGCATGTGACTAGCTGAAAATCGAGAGAAGCCCTATCATATTCATCTATAGGTTACGGTCTGAGACAATGAAAATGAGTAGCTTGCCCAAGGTCATTACGCAGCTCCTGTCGTTATTAAATAGACTCAAATACGGTGACTTGTAAATACATTGGCCAATACAATCATGTTACTGGACTCGTAATGCTTATCATTGCAGACAAGAATCTAGCAAAAAGCATTGAGTATACAGTATTGGAGAAATTTATTGTGAATGAGTTTTAAGCTTTTTCATACAGACTAATCGAGAAAAAAAAGAGGCTGAAGCAATATAAACAAGCAAATGAAAAAAATTAGTGAACAAATTAATACAAATACGGCATATTTGGAACTAAAATTTTAGCATCTTTTCAAGATAATCTCATTATATAATGTTATTTATTTGTTTCGGATCAATATAAAAATTGCTTGTTTTTTTTTAGTGAATAACAATAAACATTCAGAGCCAGTATATATAATAACAATGAAATTTCAAAGGGACAAAATGTTTTGGTAAAAAAAAAAGAAGCGGTTTCATTCATTTGAAAAGCAAACAAATGTAAATATAAAATATTTTTGATCTTTTTTTGAACAGTAAAATAAGAAGAACAAAGTACAATGTTTTTTTTACATTAATCTGTATATTTTTTGTTCTTTTTTATCATCATAGGAAAAGAAAACAACTAAACAAGACAAAACAACATCGACGCTATACGTTCTTTACATAAAAAAACAACTCATCAATAGAAAACAAAATAATGAATATATTTACGAAAACATGGTTGAACATTTCTTTCTTTTGTAACGAGATTGACATAATCATTGACAAAACAGAAAAACGTACAAAATAGACAAACAAAGAAACACAAACGTATAAACTCATGACAAGAGAAAGATTTCACCGGACTTTCATGCCTTAAAATAAATATCTTTATGAATGATGATGATAATGGGGTTCTGTTGAATCAGATGATTTTCGATTTATTACATCATCATTAGTAGTCGTTGGTTCATTAGCATTCGCATATGCTGTTGATTGTTCTCTCCACATAGCTGCATATACGCCATCAGGTTTTTCTAAAAGCTCATCATGTGAACCACGTTCAACAATGGTACCTTCTTTAAGAACAATAATAACATCAGCATGTGAAATAGTTGATAAACGATGAGCAACAATTAGTGTTGTACGTCCTTCACAAACAGTTCTTAATGCTGATTGAATTTGTCGTTCAGTAAATGTATCTAAACGAAAATTAAAAAAAAATAAGTTAAAATCAACTAAAGAAAAAAAAAATTTAACCAAGTGCTGATGTTGCTTCATCTAATAAAACAATAGCCGGTGCTTTAAGTAGTGTTCGAGCTATGGCTACTCGTTGCTAAAAATAAGAAACCTAGGTAAAAACGAAATCTATTTTAATTTTTATATTTTTTACTTTTTCACCACCAGATAATTTCAAACCACGTTCACCAACAATTGTTTTATATCCTTCAGGAAATGTATTTATACGATCTAGACATCAATAATTAATGATAATTTTTCTTTATTGAATTCTTTTTTTTTCTCACCATGCATTTCAGCTGTACGTGCAGAATTCTCAAACTTCTTGATCAGTTGCTGTAACTCGACCATAGCGAATATTGTATAAAATATCTTTATTAAATAGAACAGTATCTTGCGGTACAACACCAATTGAACGACGAAGTGAATTTTGTTTTACAGTTGAAATATCTATACCATCAATTTTAATTGAACCACTTTGAACATTATAAAAACGAAAGAGTAAACGAACGATTGTACTTTTTCCTTAAAAAAGAAAAAGATATATTAGTTTTTGCTTTTGAAATTTTATTCTTTAAGAGCTATTGTACATAAATCATGATCGATTCTATTCAACTGACAGTCGCCAATTTACCTAGTTTTAATATATATTTATAGCGGCAAGTGTTTGATGAATTTCTGAACAAGTCATTCAAAAAAATATTATTTCGTCTTCGAAATATATATATTTTTCTCAGGTCATTATCGCCAAAACAAGTACATTTTTTGCGTTTTATTTTATAATAAACTACTGATGAGTTGACCAATACTATCAAGTACACAAAAAAATTGTCATTTTTCGATATTTTATGTATAAACATATTTCATTAACGAATCATGTTAACAAGCTTTACATTTTGGTCAGTGAAAACAATCTCAATGAGTGCTAATTTTTGTTAAAATATTGAGTCTTTTAGATAGCTCCTGTCACTCACAAAATCTTCACTAACATCGAGATTTTCGAAATAATCGATAGAGAACAAAGTCTATGTTACAACGTCCAGGGCAGATTCTTGTAGAAATTCTCAGTAGTCAATGTGAAGTTTAAAATTGTACAATTCTGACTTCTATTAGTCAGATTTTTTGTGCACTTGTTGGTATTGGTCAATTCATCGACCGTTAACTCATTCAAGCTCAATTTTGTGTGGAAGATACTCAAACTTCAGATGTATTCACACTTAAAATTTCAAACGCAATGGATTTATTCGTGATAATGAGATATAGCTGCCACAAAAAGTGTGCTTTTTTGGCGATTTTGTACTTTAGAAAAACCTGTATGGTTCGAGGACGAAATAATATTTTTTCGAACGTCTAGTGTAGAAATTCATCAAATACTTGCAGCTATCATGTATATGTAAAAACTAAATAAAGTGGTGACTGTGGATTGAGCAAGAACGATCGCGATTTACCGAAAAGAGTTCTTAAAAAACAAAATATTAAAATTAATAACCTGCTCCCGAAGGTCCAACAATGGCCATAGTTTGTCCCGGTAAAATACTAAATGATATATTTTTAAGAATGGGTCGCTCGGCTTGATAATGAAAACAAACATCATCAAATTCAATCATTCCATTAGTAATAACAAGATCTTTAGCAAATGGTGAATCTACAATAGTAGGTTGATTATCAAGTAAATCAAGCATATTTTCCATATCAATAAATGCTTGTTGAATAAGACGATAATATATACCAAAAAAGTTTAATGGTGTATATAATTGAAGTATATATGTACCATATAAAACGTAATCACCAACAGTTAATTCATGTTTAATATTTACAAGCCAAGCACAATAAAGTGAACCAACTGTTAGACCAATACCAATTAAAACTGCTTGACTAATATTTAATAATTGTAATGTTAATTGATTTATCCATTCAGCTAATTAAATAAGAGAATGTTGAAAGAAATAAAAATTTTCCTTTGATTTATATTCTTTATTTTACCTTTTTGATATTTTTCTATAGCATCCTGATATTGTGTAACTTCATATTGTTCTGCACCATAGTATTTCACAGTTTCAAAATTCAATAATGAATCAACAGCAGTTCCACTCATAGCATTATCATATTTATTCATTTCTTTTTTAAATTTTCGGCTTGTCCAAGCGTAACGCTGTGACATTTTGGCAATCTTTTTTTGAAATATCTCAAGAACAATGATAGCTAGAAAGTTCATTCAAATGCCATTCGACGCAGCTCGACGAGTTCTATCTATACTATAAATTTGATGTTTTTTGGTTGAACTCTATAGTTTACAGAAATGGTTTATAGTGACGTAACACTGTGACATAAAAGGACCCTGAGTTTGCAACGCTCTGGCTCATCTTTCAATTCCCTACGAACGACGATCTCCAATTAAAGTAGGCCTGGAACCAACTTTGTGGAGGATGGAACGAGCTTTTTAATGGTAAAAAGAATTTTTCCCTAGCTCTCATTATTCGTATAAAAAATGAAAAAAGAAAACGTAACGCTGTGACACTCTTTTTTGTCAATCAATTTTGGGTCACTTAACGTGCTCAAATCTATTTGATTTTTACAGCAATTGGTCTTTTCTCTACATATAACCTCTGTTCAAAAAATCAGATAGCTATGGCAAAGCGGAAGCTCGTTATTAGTATGGGAAGTTGAAAACTCTACAACAATCTAAAATTTGTCTTCTGAAGTGAAAGTTAAAAATAAATACGCTATTTTGTAGAGAATTAAATTCTGTATCGAATGGTATGATAAATAGACGTTTTCAAAACAATTTTTCCCTTGAGAAATTAAAAATACGATTTTTTAAAAGTTTAAAACACCGTTTTGGTTGCCAAAATGCGATTTTTTTCAAGAACGAATATTAAATTCGTAATCAGCGCAAAAAACTACATCTAATGATGTGTCGAGATCGGTCCATCTCGAAAAAAAATTTTTCAAAAACTTCATCACCGAAGTAGCGCGTTACGTGGACAAGCCGTTTTGTACGCCATTCTGTTATAACAATTGTCGATACAAGATAAACAAACATTGTTGCAAATACAATTATACCAAACCTTAAGAAAATTATTTAAAATTAAGAATACAACGTCAAAAATAACTCTCCTACCAAATATTAAATTGTACAACAAAATAGATAATAGCAATAATAATATCAGCTATTGTTGGAAATATGCTAAATAATACATAAGTAAGTAATGAATCAACTGAATCTGTACCACGATCAACAATACGTAGTACTTCACCAGTTTTTCGTGTTAAATGCCAACTTAATGATAAATGATGCAAATGTGAAAATACTCGAAGTTTTAATGATCGTGTTGTATATTGTTCAATTTTTGTCCATAATGTTGTTCGAAGAATTCCTAATGCACCAGCATCAAATACACCAGCGCCTATTAAATAAAACGATTTAAATGATTATTCATAAAGAACTGCCCAGACAAAAATCACCCTTTTTCTTTAACCTCACCTATCCAGTAACAATATATTAAGTATACAAAGTGATGGAAAAAAAAGTTTAACAACAATGCACTTTTGGTTTTAAAAGCAAATAGAATCTTCCATTTAATGCACTCTATATCGAAGCTTCACAGATAAGCTGTGGTGGTTAAATTTCTGAAAAAAATCGGACACCTTAGTTTTCAGATTCTAGAAGCCTTTGCCGGAGCTATTTGTTGACAAAACCATTATCATAAAAATCGGAAGAAAAACGGAATTTACTACAAATTGATCAAAAGACTTTTTTTTATGGTTTTAGTGATACTTTTAATTTTTTTTCAAGGAAGATTGTAGAAAACGGTGTACCTCCTCATTTTATTGAAAACTCTATACTCTTTAAAAACGAATTGTTAAAAGTAGCTTCAACAAAGCCTCTTGCAATATGACAACTATAATGATCGACTTCTTAGAAGTCTTGATAGAAAACTCCATTAAATATTACAATCAACATATGAATTTGAGCTAATTCCTTAACACTAGAAAAAAAAGAAGCAAAAGTAAGTCGCTCTTTAAACTTTTTCTCATCACCTTATATCGAAAATAGACATGAAAATACACATTGTCTTAATGAACAGAAAATTATAAAAAAAAGAATTAAATTCAATAAAAATGGCATTCAAAGAACTTACAACTTTCATATTACTACTCAAGAAAATAACTATATACTCTAACGAATCAGTGTTAATTGCCCGAAAGGAAAAAGATCGGAAGGCAAAATCTCGAAGTGTAAAAATCTCGAAAATCGGAAATCTCGAAAAAAATAATCTCGAATGGGCAAAATCTCGAAAAGCAAGAATCGAAAAATAGAAATCTCGAAAATCTAGAATGTAAAAACAATTCAAGTACTTGTTAGATACTTGGTTTATTAATCATAAGTTTGTTGAAAAAGGATAAAAATGTGGAAATAAAGAGGATACATATACATCATCGGCTATGATGCAGCGTTTTACCGTTGTAGCTAGAGAGTAAAATTAGCATAAGAGAAAAGTGACAAGTAGCATGATCATAAGAAAAAATTCAGCACTGTTTCGAAAATTCCTTCGCTTTCATATTCTTTTGGTAAGTAACAGTAAACTTCAAAGATTTCCTTACGAATCAACTTCTGCATTGTGAGATCTTGACAATTAGAGTATGAAGGTCGGTGTCAAGTGTGATTACTGGATGTGAGTGGATTAACGGCTCACACCCAGACCTACTATCATCAAGATCGACACCCAAACTCACTCACGCTTGAAAATGCGTTCAAACCGACATCGACACTTGAAGGAATGTGACTCATAAGTCAGTGAAGCTCGGCTGGGACCATTGTAACGAAAAGTAGTTTTCAGCAAAAATCTACTCTTATTGATTGTTTTATGAGTTTTCGAGATTTTATCTTTCGAGATTTTGTAGTTCGACATTGTGCATTTCGAGATTTTGCCGATTTGATGTTTTTTTTTCGGGCTTTTTCTTGTCGAGATTTTTTTCTTTCGAAATATTTTTTTTCGAGATTTTTCCCTTCGATCTTTTGCCTCTCGGTCAATTAACACTCACCCTACTCTAACACCTTAATTTTCAATTATTTTAACGTCATAATCATAATCAATTGATTCACAATCAGTTTATTTCCTATTAAAAAAATGCTCTTAGAAAAAAATAACTAATCTTCAAAATCTTCTCTGACACTACAGTCGCAACTACACCTTCAACTGGAAAATATTAATTATTTCTTACTATAGAAAGAATGACAAATATTATCAAGACTATATTTTTGAACTACGTTTTCGAAATGTATTACATTCTTTCTGAATAGAATTATTTAGCTATCTTTTATGAATGATCATTAATGCAAATAATCTTCAAAAAGAAACATTCACTTGTTATTTACCTTGTAAAAATCGAAAAACCATTAAAATAGTTACTAATCTCCATGGCCAACTATGCAGTGCACGTAATCGAGCTCCAAGATTTAACAATGTATCAGTTGTACTATTACTCGATTGAATTAATTCATCAGCTATTTTTATTAAAAGAAAAGAAAATTATTAGAAATGAATATTTGTTTTTCATTTTAAAATTGAAACTTACTAATTAATTTTGTATATCTTGGTACTTCTAATGAAAGTAATCGACCAGCTAGAACAATTAAAATGCAAATAAAAATATTTATTTGTAATCCCCAATGTCCACTTGGCCAAATATATGGCGCTAAAGTTTTAAAATGTTGAAAAAATTTAACCCAAACATTTTCTTGCGCACGTTCTTCTTCAATTTGTGAATGAGAACGATTTAACAAAACAGCATAACGTCGTTGTGGTACACCAGGTGCACGAAGACCAATACAAAATATTAATATTGTTGAAATTAATCGAAATATCCAATAAGTAAAACGAATTATATCAATTTCTTCAATTGGTGAACCACCTCGAACTATTGGTTGAATGAACCATAATGGTGAACGATAAGATATTATTGTAAATAGTTCAATTAAAACAGATATACACCAAAACGTAAGTATTGTTAGACCATGACCACGTGTTTGAGATGTTGGTGTTCTTTTACTTCGTTCAACACGAAGTATTAATAGTGCAAGTAACCAAGCAATTGTACGAAGAACACAACGAAATATTGTATAACCTGGAATCTAATTCAAATTAACAAGATAATAAATCAAAAACGATTTCGTTTTATTTTAAGTCAACAACAAAAACAAAACAACTAGTTACTTTAGTTTTTCCAAACGCTGTTGATTCAGTTGCATATAATAATATTGGTTCACATGCTAAGAGAATTGTTAATATAACTTGAATAACATATAAAACTGATGCATCAACATATTCACGTTCAATTTTAAATCCATAACGTCTAATAAGAAAAAAGTCAAATAAAATAAATCAATGTTAACATATCAAAAACAAAAAAAAACATACTTATAATAAATGTATTGGATTAAGCCGAAAATAAATATGAAACCAAATAAAATCGATGTTGTAAGAGTATCAAAAAAACATAATGTAAAACCATTTTCAGCCCAAACAATCATTCCACCACTAGCTGATGTTTCATTTGATGAACAAAACATTTTCGTAAAAAAATTTTAACAAAATATTTTTAATCAATATAAAAACTGAAATAAGAAAAAAATGAAATATTCAAAATAAGTTTGTTATTTAGTTTGGATTATTTGATTATAAATAATTTATATACAATATGGGATTTATGACGAATGAAAAAGAAACAAGAGGCAAATCACTTAAAACATAGTGCCGCAGACTTTCTTTTTTTCAAGGTAATTCGAAGAGAAAATATTATTTTATGTCAATTACTCGGATAAGAAGCAAACATGTAAAAAACAGTACGAGTGACTAAGAACAGAAAACAAAAAATAAACAACCAATCGGATGGGCTAAAGAATACAACCAATGAATGAATGACTCATTGATATAGTTATACTTATCAACAAAAAAACAAAAACAAAAACTAATGATAATAAATAAAATAAACATTTTTGTATACTTATACAATGTTTAATTCGAAAAATAAATTATACAATAATTATATTAATCGATATTATTAAACAAGATTTTAATAATCTTCATTTTCATGATAAAAACTTTATAATTAAATGAATAAAAAAAAAAAAAGTTAATTGTCCTATGGATATAAGATGAAAAATTTCTACACAAATGTTTAAAAATGTAAGAAAAAAAGAAAATTCTTTCGATATATGATTTTGATGGTTTTTTTTTTGTTTTTATTTTTAATTTATATTTGAGAATAAACATATTGAAAAATTAAAATATTTAAAAAGAAAATAAAAAAATAAAAATATTGAGTCAAATAGATTGAAATTAAATATAAACAAGAATTTATTTTAATTATATAAATCAAAAATAGAGACTTGATTATTTTTCACAAATATTAATGTTCGAGAGAATCTTTTATTTTGTATTTCAGAATCTTGTGTCTAATTTTTATCTTAGCAATAAAAACAAACAAAACTTATTTATACAAATAATAATGAGAATAAAAAATATATTTCTAATGTTAATTTGTTGAAAATTTGATATCAATTAATGAAGAAGTGTTTTTTAGAATAAATTAAGTTAATGAAATTAATTAAAATAGACAAAATAAATATCTTCGAATATGTCTAAACAAAATTGATTATATATGATAAGTATATAGAACTTTAATAATATTTCTTTTTTATTCTCTATTATATTCAAATGGCTTTTTCGCCTCTTAAACAATATTTTCTTATCTATATTTCAATCAGCGTTTGCAATGGAAATCTAAAACAAAATGTATTCGTACATTTTGCTTATATAAGTAAAGTGTATCTGTACACTTTATTTTCATCACCAAAGTGTATCAAAGTGTACAGATACGAAAGTCAATTTTTTTTTCAAATATTAAATATTAAATAAAATGNCGATTTCGAATGTTTAAAGTAAGTGAATAGATAATGTCAGATATGCCTCAACACGGGTACGAATTGTACTGGCCTCCCTTGATACATGTATATTCTCATGCACTGTTATATACTCGAGTACATGTACTACCATAATCATAGATACACTCCTAGGCAACTTAGAACGCTAGAATTCATGCACTTTGCATGTTTGTTCAACCTCAAAACTCAATATGATTTTCATAGATCTCGTATCTAGAAACGTAAAATTTTCGCGTATGAGTATGCAGAGTAACACATACAGGATATCTTGCTCGGTAAAAGTACCAGGAGAACAAAAACCTAGGATGCCTATCTCGAATATTTGAAAAATACTTCTTAAAATCTGAATGTAACTTTCAGGCTTCACATTACTAATATTTCAATGTGCTTGAGTGCATCCTAAGACATGATAATACTTCAATAATAGCATATGTACTTTGGACAACTTACAATTCTTAAACCAGTATTTGCTGACTTGTGTTTGGATACACGCCAACACATGACAGTACACCAGGTGTAAGTTCTGCGGAGTATTTATTTGGTTATGGTAAGACATGTACGTATAGGAAGTGTAGGGCGGCATGGTTACGCGGTAAAGCTTTATTTTTTTTCATTCTGAACACATTTCGTATTCGCATGACTCTCAATAACGTCATCAAAATAGTTTAATATTTGTTTGTTTATATCATTAGGGTCTTTTTCGAAATTTTGGTTTGGCTTTAGTAGATAATTTTATGGATGATTTATACATACTTATTCACGATAAAACAAAAAAACAAGAAGGAAGTCATCGAGTAGCAGCTGAAATTGTTGCTGGCATGATTCGTGGTTCAAAACATTGGACTTTAGATATGGTATATTTTAGAAAGAAAACGATTTTATTCGATTGATTCTTGTTGTTTTTTTCAGCTCGATGAACTTTGGAAAAAATTAACACCATTTCTTAATGAAGTTTGTACGAATCTTAGTGTAGAAACTGTTTCACATTGGGGTTCATGTTTTAAATATGGAATGGTTTGTTTCAAATGGTTAAATTTCATATGTATTTATTTATTTATTGATAATAGGAAGATGAAGATCCACGTCGAATGTATCGTCCTATTGAATTCCTTCGTTCATTAATGAACAATCAAACAATGGGAAATACATTTCTCGAAACATCACAATGGTCTCTTATTCAAAAGTTAAGTAATTTTGAGTGGCGTATCCCTGCAATATGGTGTGCAATAAATCAATATGCTAACGAACTTCTTGATCATCCATATAAAGCAATACGAGAACGTATTGCTAGGTAAAGAAAAGTTGACTTATATATTTAAAGTTACATAACTTTTTTTTCTTTCTTTCTACTAGTGTTTTAGGAACTTCACTTAGTTTTGATATAAAATTACCAAATGGTCAATCAACACGTCATCCAAATGTTGATCAATTTATTGATAGTATTCGTGAACGATTAGATCAAGCAATAAGAATCTCTGGAAAAAAACCATTAGGTAAAACTATTTAGAAATTATTTGATATATATGAATCAATTTTGTTTCATTAGCAAATATTTCTGGACAACATGTTGAAAATGATTCGGAGTCTCTTCGAGCTCTAAATTATATTGAAACAGGTACACAAACCAAAATAAACTAAATGTTTAACATTGAAAATTCACTGCTTTCTTTTTTTTCGTATATCACTTAGTAATTCAACTATATACACAGATATTCTCTGCTCATATTCAACCAGTAAAACATGGCATTATTCGTATTTTTCCTCATGTACAGATAAATATTATATGTTAAAATTCAGTTTTTTTATTAAACATATCTTATATTCTTTAGCTCTGTGAAACCGATAGTATTGCAGCCAATGACGATTTTATTCGAAACAGTTCAATTAGTTGTCGTATGTGCTTGGCTGTAACTTATTTCGATACATCGTTTATTGAAGAATTAGTTGAACAATTAGAACAAGTGAGTTAAGTCATTTGATGAATGATTCAAAAACAAAAGGAAAGGAGGAAGTACTATCCATTGCAAAATGTGCTGTGCTCTGCTATTTTTCGAATAACTTTTGATGGAAATATTATAGAGATCTGTGATTTTCATCGTTCAAGAGAGAAAACACGGAATTATCGTATCCAAGTTTATCGAAATTTGATTGGTCAAAGATTGACCAATTAGATGAGCTTTAGGTAGTGATTTTCGAAACGCAAGGCTGATATTTCTATCTTATTCCGCTGGAGACTTATAAGGCTATTTCTGAGATCTCCAGTTTTAGCCAAGTGGTCTGTGATCACTCGGAAAAGCAGAAAGTCAAGTGTAATTCACCATGCCGAGTCGAATGATGATATTTAGTTTTAGGCCAAAATTGATTTCACTTTCTTTTCTCAATATTGTTGAAATGTCGACTCCTTCATTACATAGGAGCTCATTGTGAAATTTCAGAATTGTTAAGACAGAAGAGTGAAATCAGTTCGAACCTAAAAAAAAGCATCACCATTCGACACAGCCTGGCGAATTACCGCTGAGTAGTTACTTTTTCGGGTGATCACAAGTCAATTGGCTGAAGTCAGAGATACCAAGAGTAGAGAACTGCGGGTCCTTCCAGACCAGAACCCAACCTTGTCGTACTCCGAATACAATCGTATATTTTTCCTTGGTTCCCGTTACACGTTTTGGTGGATCGACTGCTGCTACTCAAATGGGAAATACAACAACACGATATAACTGTACATTGAGTTTTTTTCTTAGACTAGCAAATAAATAGCTAAAACTTTGAACCTTCACTTATTCATGTACATGAAGAATGACAGATATTGATGGAAAAATCCTTGGGTTCGGATCTGATGCAGGGTGTAGTTGGGATCCGAATTTTTTACTTTTTTCGGACTCGGGCCCACAAAAACGTAGATCCGCAGCTCCCTGCTCATGAAAAGTGTTATAAACATCGAATAGAACAAGCCAGGGATGTCGGTCTTCTGTACACCGAAAGAGAAGAATTTTTCCCATCGACTATGTCTACTAGAGATCTAAATCAAAATGAAAACAGTTGTAGAACACTGTTTTCGAAAGCTTCATCAAAAGCTCGCTTGATTGGTTAATCACTGACCAGTCGAATTTTGATAAACTTCGATGACCTTAGCTCTTCTTTCTGAAAAAATGATTGCCTCAGCTTTCAATGATGTTTTTATCAAAAGTTATTCAAAAGACACTGGAGTACATTATAATTTGAAATAGACAGTATGTTTCATTTTGTTTCAAAGGTGTGTTCAAATCCAAAATGGCATGCACGTCGAGCTGCTATTGAATTTGTACAAAATATGATCTTTTGTAATTTATTCAATGCTCGACCATATGCACAACGATTACGACAACTTGTTTTTAAATGTTTATTTGATGAACAATTTGAAGTTCGAACAGTTGCATCGGTTAGTTTATCAGGATTTTATCAATGTGGATATATTCAAATTAATAATGATGATCTTGTAAATATTCATTGTTTTCTTTTTTCCTTATATTCATTTTGTTTTCTCTATTATAGAAATATTTTCGTGTAATGAGTAAAACAAGTTATTTTACAAAAGTTGATGGAAAAAAAATAACATCAGCAAAAAATATTGTTAAAAGACATGGAGGTTAGTATATTAATTAATAGTCATAAGTAATGTTTTCTTTTTATTAATAGGTGTTCTTGGTCTTTGTGCAATTGTTTTATCAAGTCCATATGATATTCCAAATCATGTACCTGAAGCATTGATGTTACTTTGTGAACATTCACATGATCCTGATCTAATTCAAGTATGTCATTATGAGAAAAAGAAAGTATNACCCGCACCCCCACCCACACCCACCCCCCACACCCCCACCCACACCCACACCCACACCCACACCCACACCCACACCCACACCCACATACAGCGGTAACCATAGCCAAACCCGCACCCATATACTGTAACGTTACTCGCTCGATTACATGGCCACTATTTTTCTTCCGTTCTTTTATTTGGTAGAAACTGACGAAAACTTACACAACGTGTTTTGCAGCTTGCAATATGGGCATGTAAATGAATGAGTAAGTACGTCAACAAAGGAAGCAAAATAGTAGGTATAAATAAAGAGAAGCAGTCAGCAAATAAGTTTTATTATATTATCCGTGAATATCAACCAAAAATCAAAAGACATTTATGGCTACCGGAATCGATGTTGAAAACGATCCTGATGCCCATGGAGAAAGTGATGATAATGTGTCTGATGACGAGGATTGGCCACGAAGAACTAAAAGCGGGATACGCCGATACCCAGATATACCTATGGATGGCAAATATACTCGTCCATTAGATTTTTATAGGCACACTGTTGGTTATGGTGATGGTGGTTGTTTAGACCTAGACTATCCGATTTGGTTATGTGGTGCTATTTCTGAACATATCAGTGATGCCAACACTGACGTAAGAAAGCAACTATTAGAAGTATTTTATAAAATGAATGAAGAAAGAAAAGACTTTCATAAATATCCACTGCCTGTCGAAGATATTATTGATCCTGACCTGTTGGTTTCTAGACCGGTAAAGCCGCGATCACCACCATCACCTGATCCCAAAAATAATGACGAACACAATATCTTTAATTATGGTATACTTTTTAATCCAGATAAAAAATGGAATTTTGATCCATCCTCCCTGCGGGGTTCTTATCAATGGATACCTAGTGAATTTCGCATTCGTCATAGTATTGAAGATTACTACGAAGTGCACATTGAGACACCTATTAGTCATCTACCTATGACTGACGAGTATGCGCAAACATACAGAAATTTATAGAAACTGTTTTCAAAATTGATGCCTATGTTTAATGAAATATTAAAAATCAATGATTCTGTCAACGACACCCAATTGCAGGTTGCTGTGAAAGTGCAAAGTTATAATATTCAACCAAGTGAGTGTGTGTTCAAAATAGAATGAAATACATATAAGTTCAGCTAATAATGCTGAATTACGATTACATCCACGCATCATGTAATCATTTTCAATGAGTTCCAAGTTGCGTCATGATCATGTTTTCAGCCTGAATATATTATTCAGAAATAGATTTGGTGAATACATGATTTCTTTCACCCACGTTACTGCATCGATTTTTCGATAATCCTTTCATGCTACGATATGCATTGATGAGTCAAGCGAAAAATAGCATCTATTCAACAGATTGTGTCTTTATACTTTCGGTACGAGAATATTTTAGCTATAAACCACTTTTAATAATCTCTGGATGTATGAGGTAATGCAGCATTTTTTTTGCGAAACTGAGCTTTCTGTTGAATTATAAAGATTAGGCGTCGTCGATAATACTGGCATGTATGTGATTATTAGAAAGACGAACCACTCAAGAGTGCGATCCTTGTTCAAGATGCATTTCTCTTTTTGCAAAGACAAATTCAGTGAGAGATAGAGACCATTAAGAAAATTTTGACTTGAGACAGAAACGTTTCCGAATCATGATTATATTCAGTCTTATTCATCATTGACTTGTTTATTACAGTGAAGGATGTAGTTGTCCACGCGGTATTCTATGATAATCGAACTTGATAAGCACAAGTTCTAAGATTTTTGAATGTAAAGAGTCTTGTATTATTGGATTTTGTCAACGTTTGGCGCATTAGTGGCATAAATCAGCAATAAATATGAGCATCAGTAGTTAACCATAAATATTGTGGTTCCGAAAATTCAAGAAAAGAAAAGGAACTTTTAATATTATTTTTTATGAATCGATTTAACATGAAAAGTTTTCGTTCATACAAACTGTCTATTCACTGGGGCATCATTGAAACGCTCACTAGATATAGAAATCATTTTTATCTTCAGAATACACGGTTTAGCCACTCATTTAAAATATGTACGTTTGCAGACAAATGATTTCACACACATCATACGGTCTTTTTTTTTTATGTCGTACGACTTTGCTTAATTTTTTTTCTAAACATTAAAATGAGACTTTGCTGACGTTCAATGCTCATTAATGCATGGATAGAGAAACAACGTTGTCCTCAAAAATAGTTTGCCACTAAAGTGTACTGCTTTCTGATGACAAAGCATTTTGCGGATGTAACGGCTTTTATGAAACTGTTGGCATTATCTCTTGTTGAATTAATATGTGAAACACGATATATTTCTGCTACCAAATCTCTGAAAAACTTTCGGTTATATGCATCTCAGAGGTCACAATTTCTTTGTTAATAGATGTATCGGTGCTGAAGTCGAAATGTAACTAATTTAAAAGCTTTTCCATTGAATATCACTAATATAAGAGTTTCCGTCATCTTTTTGACGCATTAGCCAATGTTCGAAGCATCTTGTAAGCTGTCATCTATGAATCTGAGATTCTCCTGAGCCAGTCCGCTACGTTTGATTCTGGTCACTATAGTCTATCTGTTTCTATGTTTGTAGGCAGCAGAGATTCTTTACACATAATACTTTGATACTTCTTTCATGCCGTGTTTCACAAAATTGTATTACAGATAACAAACGAATTTAAAACTTTTGAAACTTGTTTCTTTTTTCTAGGAACAAACTATTCTGGTCGTTGGCATACTGAAGGTTGTAGTGAAAATATACAGGCAGTTGGCGTTTACTACTTGCATATTGATGATTTACTTGAAGGTGGTGCATTGAAATTTCGTCCGTTAGCAGCACCAGCAGAGTCTTATGCTGATTGTTGGAATATTGAAGTCAATCGATACATGATGCCAAAAACCGACGTGGCAGTTGTATTTGACAACTGTTTGCCCCATCGTTTCTGTTCAATTCGTAACTCAACATCAATTGCTCGTCGCCGTACGTTTATAAATTTTTTTGTTGTATCTCCAACTTATCCAATACATGACATATCAATTTTGGATTTGCCATTGGTTAGCTGTGAGCAATGTGAATATTTATTGAAAAGTATTGCTGATGAGAGCCATCGACAGAAACTACCAGATTTAGTTATCAATAAGATTCTCTCCTTTTTGAAGAAACAGATGTGGACTACAGAAACGGATGCAAAAGAATTTCGTTCAAGAGTACGATACGAAATGGTACATGAGAAGAGTGGCTGGAGTGGTATTCAGTATGGAAATACTGGTGATATTATTTTTATTAAGTCAACCGATGACTTGAAGCAATTGGGAAAGATCAGCGCCTACGAGGACTTAAGCCGCCATCCGTACCATACCGAATCCGAATAGAGAACAATTAGAAGAAGAAAAGTTCTTTAGTTCAGTCAAATGGGACTAAAATGTGAAACGAACACATCCTGTCTTAACTAAGAGACTGCCCGTGTAAAAAAATGATGGGAATAATCAAATTTTTTTCGATTATTTTTTGATTAGAAATTAATTATAATGGCATTTTTATAATTCGATTTTAACCCGACTTCTTGATTTTTAATATTTTTTAATCGATTATTCGACTGTTAATCGATTTTAATTGCTGTGACGAAAAAAAGCGTTTTTCTCTAGTTTTCACTTAGAAACTTGTATTTTTTATTATTTTTTCTGACTCCTTGCATCGACAAATAGTAAGTGTAGTACTAGCCATACCCTTAACGCATTTCTATACACGACAGACATTCACACCCAATCGTGTAGCCCATAAAGCCGATACCTTGGATTAAAATCGATTAAAAACCGACTAACAGTCGAATAATCGATTAAAAATTATTAAAAATCAAGAAGTCGGGTTAAAATCGGATTTCAATACTATCATTATAATTAATTTCTAATCAAAAAGTAATCGATTAAAATCTGATCTTTTCTGATTTTTCTTTACATGGGTGTTTCTTTATAACATTTGTAATCTAATGAAGTATCGTTCAAATTTTGTATAAATAAAATCAACCATTCAAAGCTTGATAAAAACAAGCTTTTGTGAAACACGATCTGAAAGGAGTGTTGCAGTACATACGGTAGAAATTCGCATCCATTCCCTCCACTCTCCCCTCTCCATAGACCGTGACAGACGAATTTACTAATTAATTGAATAATGGGTTATTAATTATTTAATTAATAATTAATATTTCGTTAGAAAATCGCCGAAGACTCACCACAGGTCGTGACAGACAGGCTTTAGAGGCATCATAAACCGTGACAGACGTGCTCCACAGAGGGTGTGGGTGTGGGTATTGCCCTGATGAACAGATCTACACCCACGCCCACACCCTTTTTTGTCTTTGTGCCGACATTTTCACTGTTGATGTTTTGTGAAATTTCACTTCTGTTATGCAATTTTCTTACGCATACAAAAAGTAGAAATAAATTTCATGCAATGATTGTTCCCTCTTTTTCTCCGCAACCAATTTTCACAAGTAGCAATCGAGACGCTTTTGTAAGAGACCTTCACATATTTCTTTTCTCTTTTATTTATGAATTTCTTGAAATTTTCTTTCTCGCTACTATATTCTGAGTGTCAAAATAGAAAAGAAATTTGAAGTAAGCATAAATACATCGTTTCAGTGACAAGAGAAAAAATCGGCGAAATAGAACTGAAACACGTTGTTGAAGAAGCGCAATAAAATTATTTTTATTCATTTGATGTAACGATTTTTCATTGAAGGAGTATATATGTTGATGATATCACATTTTATTCTTTTCCTTCAAATCATACATTCGCATTCTTTAACATGTAAAACATTCACTTATACATAATTTTATAAGGAAGGTGTGGGTGTGGGTGTAAGCGCGTTTAAGTATGATGCTCGTTACATTCCCCCCATCTTCACCCACACTCACAGCCGCACTTACTCCGACTTACCATCTTTCGGATGTGACAATTTTGTTGATCATCCGCCAGGTTTGTTGCCGTCATCTACAATAACAGACAACATTTTATTTTAATGTCCGAAACAAATTTTGTGAGAAACTCACGAAACTCACGAGCAACAACGACCAAAAGAAATAACACGAATGTAGAACAAGTTTCCTAGAGCATGTTGCAATTAATAATGATTTGATTCCTTTCACTACTATGTTTTATATATCGATGGGTTTACGTCATTGAATCTTAGTCTACTTTTTCCATTGAAGTCATCTGGATTACATCTCAGGGTTAATATTTTTCGCTGATTTTCTGATTAATGCTGTCATTCTAAAAAATCACGAAATATCGGATAATTGTTTTATTGAAAAAAGGATTAGCGAATTTCATCGATCGCACTATTCCAAGTGCGTAGTTTATACTTTCATATGACATAGGAGAAAAAGTATTATAGAGCCTCTGTTATGCATTGATTTGCTATTTTTATTCCAGTATACTAATTGAATTGGGTGCATCGATATCTTGCGGAAGCATGTGAGCAGTGAAGGGTAATTTTGACAATAATAATTTGATTTAAAATGTGAGAATGTAAATGGCAGTGAGAGTTCTAGTCTCTTTTCACCAACAGTTATTTCGAAAAATCAGATTTCATTCTCTGTATTCGTGTATGAGCAGTAAAACGCCAATAACTTGAAATAGGGATGGACCCTTTAATTTAACTGAGCTTAATTAAAGTGATTTAATGCAGTGGTTGTATATAATTTTAATATTAAAACTAAATGATAAAATTAAAAAAATAATTTTAAAATTAGGATTAAATCGTTCACTTAATTTTAATGGTAAAATTTTTAAAATAAAAAAGTTTAATTTGAATATTAAAGTTAGATGAAGGATTTAATTTTAATATTAAATATTAAGAGATAGGTTTCACTTTATTTAATTTTGAATTAAATAGTCCACACCTAACTTCAAACACGGGAAACAAAATCGCTGTTTTATCATTCCTCGTTGAATAATCTTATATCATAAGGACGGCTGATGATGCTTAAATTGATTTTTCAAATCTTGAAATACGACAGTGAGCCGATATCAGTGTGTAGAACTGGATTCAATATTAAGATTGATCGGTCTAATTTTCAATCACATAAAGTAATTAAACAAGCTAGATGGTCTAAAAGAACACCTGACCATGTACAGAAAAGATTTTCTGAAGATTTGTGTCACATATTGAGAGTTGCTGTTGAAAGTTAAAGTTAAAGTGATTTTCTAGTTTAATAATAAACGATTGATGAAGAAAATATAACAGAAGAACAGTATCTCAGAGAGATTCAAAATTAGATGGAACGACCAACCATTTTACAACTAACACACAGAACCGACCACATCAATAAACATATATATGTGTCAAATGTCATCAGTAAATATTCCACCGAACGAAAGGAGACGAATGTTCCGTTGCAAGAAGTTGTATGCCGTAGAACGAAGGAATATACCATAGAATGAATAGAGTATATATATATAAGAAGAAGTTACAGCATATGAAAAATAAAACAACCCGAATTATAGCAAGAATGAATATTCCAAGATCGGATGTCAATACGTCACAGTTTGTATGATATTTCTGTGCATAATGGTATTACGTGACAAAAGTAATATCTAATAGGAATCAATGATATCTCACATATGCTAGCGTGAGAAAATCAATCCTTGATAAAACATATTCACTTCAAAGTACACAGTATTTGCTTCATGGGCAATTTTGAAAGAAGAACTTGACAAGCAACTCTAGACTTTATTTTTAACTCATAATAGAATCGCCTTGCATGTGTGTATTTGTGTTGGTTCAAATAGTGTTTTGATTCACACTCACACTCGAAATTAATAAATTTATGAAATGTATATGTTAGTGTGAAGAGTTTATTGTTATGATGAATATAAAACATGACACCCACTTTTCATGTGGATTTACTGTTTTGTCATCCGAAATTTTAGTCTTCGCTGTTTTCCTTGTCTGGCTCTTCTTCTGCTTCTATTTCTTCGTCATCTTCCCTACTCTCGAAATCGTCATCGTAGTTTTCTGGTTGTTCATCATCCGGATTAGCATCATCGGTACCAACAGCATTCGTGCAAGTATCATTCGTAACAGCACTAGCAGAAGCATCTGCATTGTCATCTTGAATTTTTGACGACATAATCTTCAGTTGTGCGAATAATCCATGTTTCAAAGCAGTATTTCTTCGTAGCGGGTGTGGGTGTGGGTGTGGGTGGGGTGTGGATGATGATGAAACTCTTCTACTAATACATACACCCGCACCCACACCCACCCTCCGCACTATTTGGCCACTTTCAAACACTTGGAAGAAAAAGAAGGTTAGTTAAATCTTCGCTAAGGCATGAAATTTAAAATTTCCTTTTTTGTTATGTGTTTGTAGGGTCTTCGGGCAATAGTATGATGACGCCTCATGATGCTTTGATTGGTCTTCGAGTTTATTGTTCAATTATTCATGCGCGCATTGTCGATCATCTCTCTCTACTTTGTGACTACTGGTTTATTCGCAACGGTATATTGATTCTTGATGGGGAATTGAGTGCAGCATTTTTACCTGCACGATTGTTGACGCATATGAAGGAACTGCCGGCATTACAGCAGAGGAGAACGACTTTGCGTCGAAGCATTGAAGCAATGGAAAGCGCCTTGCTTGCAGCAGAAAGTGACTAAAAAACTTTTTTTTTTGATTTCGAAGAAATAAACTTTTAAAACGGCTGTGAATAGCATTGTGCGGCAGCCATCAATGCTTTGTTAGAAAGAGACCTATTATCCTCTATGATAGGATTGCGTGCTTTGCAATTCAAAACTAAAACCTGATATGAAATCGAGTAAAGAAATATTTATTTTTAATAGAGATTCACGTTTAAGTAAATATTGTTGAAGACGATGGTTGTTTCAACCAGCTATATAGAGATTGCCATCTCTCGATCGACAGATAAGCCAGAGGCACTATTGAACTTTATGTCATTCGATCTCTATACTATTTCGATCAGCAACGGCAATTCCTTCTGTTGCACCGTCATATAGTTTTATAGGAATCTCTATTCATCCATGGCCAATCCATAACAATCGATATTGCCCAGGAGAATTTACCCTCGAGTTGTATCCGGACAAAGAGACCATCGTAGAACTCATTGATTATCCCGATCCCATATGAGAAGACTATCTGTTTCTCTCAGAGATCGAATCGAATCAAATTGTTTTTTGGTTCGGATTCAGTTCGGTTCGACTATTTAAAAAGAATCGATTCGGATTGGTTTGATTTTAGCCTTTGATCAGCAAGAAGCACATAGAATGCCAATAGGAATTACGATGAACTCCGACAACTTGCTGATTGTTCAGACTTTTCTTCGTTTTTAGAGAGGTTTTCTATTAAATTCTTAGTCAAAATTTGCTGTATTAAACAATATCATTTTTCCATATTTATGAAATACGCATTAGACATAGAAATAGACATGTAAGCCGAAAAGCTGAACAGCAGCGGTAACTTATAATATTCTATTTTTGAGGAAAGAAAATTGAAGCGTCTTGTGTACGTGAAATTGTATATTCAAAATTTTAATTGGAATACATAAAAAAGACGAACAAAAAAAGATTTTAATACTCATCAAGATTATTGATTATAAAATTTAAGGACAAATACCATTGATAACAAAAAAATAATGAACATTGACAAGAAAACAAAATTTAATGGGATCTGTGGGGAACATAAATGATGGAAGTATCATCGATAAAATCAACACAAATTTTATTCAAGAAGCTGTATTTTTATGTATAGGATTTTCCGAATCTCATCTCATATGCTTTAACCAAATCGTCTCCTTTTGAACTTCCTCCAATATTTCTAAGAATCTCTTTTGTAACTAATGCTGTGAGTATATCTGAACCAAAAGGAGAATTTATGTCTAAGAATTCACTTCTTCCTCCGGTTCTCCTAGCAATTTCTCTGAAACTCTTTTCTGGATCGTTAGCAACAAAAAAGGTATGTACTGGAATCTTATTTAATGTTAGTTTTGCTAACTCATCTTCATAATATGTTGCTTTTGCAAATTTTGTTTTTTTCCAATAATCTTCTCCATGACGCTGTCTTTTCTTATTTACCTCATTCTGAGTGTTGGGAGGTGCGTCACCAATCAAAATCACTTGTGTAATATTTTCTCTTTCATTCTCATTATTCGCATGCCATAATCCAATTTCAATAGCTTCATTGCCCCAACCTCCCTCAACATTGATGGTATTCATAAAAGCACGTAAGTTATCTGGTTTTGTTTCCCATGGAGAATGTTGAAGAATCTTTTCCTCTTGACTATTATAATTTCGATAGACTACAAATTGAACTTCAAATAAATCTGAACTTATATTAGCATCTTTTAAAATTGTAATAGCTCGTTCGAACATAATGTCAACTGTATTCTTAGATTTCTGTAAAAGTTGACTCATAGAACCTGTTGCATCCATTAAACAAACAGTTCGTGAACTCGATGTACCTTCTACTCCTTTATTTTCGTCGATTAAGAATTTTCTTATAGAATCAATATCTCCTGATTTAAGTTTCAATAAAAACTCCTGACTTATCTTATCTCTGCTCTTTGCTTGTTCAACATATTTTGCATTAGCTTCGTACTGAAATTTAAAGAAAATCATACGTTTATCGTTCAGAAAATCATACATGGACGCATATGTCATTGCTAAACCTCCTCTACCGTCTCTAATGTCTTGAATATCACTTTTTCCTATCTGGAATTTCTCTAGATCATCATCAAGTAAAATCATACTATAAGATCCATAATCACCCTGTCTTGCTGTTCGACCTTTTATTTGTACTTCTTCTGATATTTCCTCGGATAGAAATGTTTGAATCACATGAATACCACCATTAGAAGTGACAGATGGATCATGGCAAATAAAATCAGTTCCTCTACCAAATGCTTTGGTAAATAAAGTTACTTGACCAGATCCAGTCGCACGTTTGATTAAATTTTCTTTTTCTGTTAATGATGCTTCTTCTGTTAAATAGACAACAAAGTCTTTTATAGATTCTAAAGCTTTTGATTCATAAAATGTTTTTAATTTCTCTTCTGATTCGAAAAATACGAAGACAGCACGTTGTTCTGATGATTTTCCTCTTAATCTATCATCAATTTCTCTTTTTATGATATTAAAATAGTCGTTACTGTTCGCAATCCAAATATCATCTCTTTTTGTAAATTGAAGATTATTTTCACCGAATACTGATGGAGTTATTGTATTTTTATTGATCCTATATAGATTTTTTATAGTTTCTTTTTCTGATTTACTTAAAGTTACTAATGTTCCTGTGACACCCATGATATAATGAAATTTAAGCGGTGTTTCGGCATATGAGAAACTACCACATTTAATTCGTATACATATGTTATCTTCTAAACTCTTTTCACTTATTTTACCCTTTTCATGTTCAAAATAATATGCAAATAATGTTTTATAACCATAAATAACATTATAGAGTATGTTATCTAGTTCAATATATCCAATTTTATCTTCTTTCACAACATAATTATGAGACTCAAAACTTTTCACATCAGAAATCATATCTTTAATAGCTTCTTGAATTAATAATTCCCATTTTGGAAATCTAATACAACAGTTTTTATATTCTTGTGTACCTTGAACTCTATTCAAGGTTAACTTAGATTTTCTCTGCGCCCAAATATAATTAATTAACAATGTTATTGAAGGATCTTTTAAGCTCGTTGCAGGTATATAAATATTACCATAAAAATCTCGACTAAAGAAAACATCAACTTCATCTATTAATAATATTTTCGCACGTTTGATTATTCTAGCATTTTCTACAGCAAGATTGGAATCTTTTGAAACTAACTGTTCAACTACTTGACGAATATCACCATTTTCATTAATTATATATTCACATAACCTATTAAAAGTACCATAATGAATATGATTCAATACACCTAATGAATCGAATAATGACAAAAATGCCGTATAATCTCGTTGACTCAAATATTCACTATAACATGCACAACTTACATCAAAACCAAGTAATGCAAGTATTGAAGCTGTTGCTCCTAATGTTATAGATTTTCCTTCACCAGTTCCTATTTGTACTAAGTTATTACTTAGTTCTTCTTTAGAATCACCAATACCGAGCATACGAAATATCGAAATAACTTGAGCTGCATGAGGTTGAAAAAGATAACTATTCCTATTATTTACTTCAGTAGCTTCAAAATAATAATGTGCGTTTTGAAGTGTCCATAATGCAAAGATATGAGCGACTAATTTAGGTACTTTATTTCTTATAGTGAAATTCCATACAATATGATCTGAATTTTGTTTGATGTCTCCAGCGAATAGTTTGGTATCAGCAATTAGCTGATCCAATACCACATTAGGATTCAAATACTGTTTGACTAAACTGTCATAGATAGCACGAAATTCATCATATCTTTTTTTCAATTTTTCCTTATCTAAAAGCTCGCCGGATATCCTTTCTAGTACATAGTCAATTTCATGTCTTTGAATTTTTTCATTGAATAAACACAATGAATAACCTTGAAATGCCTTATGTTCTGCTACAATACTTTGACCTATACCGGTTTCATCTTTATTTAAAAGTATGCCTAATTTTCCAAAAGCTGTTGTTTGGTTTTTAGAATTTTTAAGTCCATTGATTATCGCATCGATTGTTTCATATATTTTAATCTTGAATGATGGAGAATTATTTTCAGTACGTTTCATATGTATTAAAATCTTTGCATGATCATCGACTTTTGTCGAAGATTCTATTTGAGCTTCCCATATTCGAACTTTTTCAAAAAATTTATTTTCAATATTTTCGATTTTGTGATTAATTTCAAATTTTATTACTTTCATTTCGTTTTTAAATGATATTATATTATTATAATATAAATTAAAAGTATCATATTCCCGTCTATCCAATTTTTCATCTCTAATAAATCTATTTAGAAGAATTTCAGCATTAGAAGAGATTTCTGTAATTTTTGTTTCTAATGATTTTAGGCATTCTTGTTCAGCTTTTTCTACATCAAAATTTATTTGATAATTACTAAATTGTTTAGCATTACTAAGAATGCTATATTTTTCATTTAATTTACTATAGAATTCATTTCTCTGTTTACTAAATCCTTTAGTGAGATCATTGATAAGTTCTTGATGAATCAACTCCCTTCTCAACTCTTTAATCCTAGGCGCAATGGATTCCACAATTTTTGGAAAAAGTACAAACTCTTTTATTGTTTTAACAACGATATTTGCTGTGTCGTCAATAGTATGATATATATTATAATGATCTCGTATTCTTACAAATAATGAATTCCATTGTTGTGATGTATCTAAAAACTCTTTAAGAAATATAACATCTAATTTCTCTAAAGCCTCTTTGTATTCTTTCTCACGTTCAATAAGATATTCTACTAGTCTTTCGTTTAATATTTTAATTTTTTCATTGAAATCTCCTGGAAGCATATCAATTAAACGTGGTGTATTATTACCATTATCTGTATCTTTGCTTTCAATACTAAATTTCATATATTCGGTTAAATCAACAAAATTCTTCTCTACTGATTGAACCCTATCACTTGTAACCATTGATGAACTACTATCTAAAAATCTATTAAAAAAACAACTATATGCTTCGGAAAAGATAATTTTTATCTGGTTTTGTACATCTAAACATGGTTTTCTAATATCCGGGAAAAGGCTTAAAAATTTAACTTGATACTCATGTAATATTTTTACATTGAAAAATGCTTCTACTATATCATGTTCTTCAAAGCATTTCTTTATATTAATAACAACACTCTGTATACTTTTCAAAACAAATTCTCGACCTCTATTAAAATAATTTTTCATACCATTGGAATTTTTATATTCTTCCAGAAGAGATTTTATACTATTTAAATCACCACTACTACACGTATCTTTCAGTCTATTATCATTATCACAAATTGATCGATCAATATCTTTTTTACAATGATTTAATTCTTCGTCAAGAGTTCTTTTCATATCATTCGGAAGATATCTAACAGCAGATTCGAATTTTCTTATATGAATATTATCATGAGTTAGTGGTGTCATTGATTTAGCCTTATCTAATTCTGTTCTTAATTTAGTGAAAATTGCTTTTTTGATTTCATTATAAGCTCTATTATATATTGGATTGGTATTCTTAATGCTTCCAAATTGATGCAAAATATCGGTAGGTGGTTGTAAAGTATATTCACTAATATCCATATCTGAATATTTTTTAACTACATCGGTTAATACAGCTGTTTTTTGATTAGTTTTTAGTTCATCGATCTGTTTGGATATATCTTCGGTACAATGAGATCCTAACAGATCACGTACGAAAGTTATTGAATCGATTTTTTTATCGGCCTCATAAAAATTATTGCTACTGATAAGAACGTTTATACCATCAATAAAGCGGTTTATTCGTTCTGCTAGTAATATTTGAACTTCTTCTGTGCATTTATTTATATGACCTACTTTCTCAAGAAATTGGGATACAAATTCTTTTGCTTTTTCCATTCGATTTAAATTTTCTACAATAGACTTTATTGTGTCTTTTTCTATTTCATGTCCAAGTATAATAGCCTTATTCTTAGTTTCTTCTAACAACGCATCTAAACCAACATTTATTGCATTAATTGCTTGTCCAGCCTGTTGAAAAAACTGTTCACCAACTATATTTGATGTTTTTAATGCTGTCATTTCAGGAGCACTGGTATCATTTGTACTTTTTATTGTTATAAGTATACATTGATATTCTTTATAGACATCAAAAAACTTTTTATCTTCCATGAAACCATCCAATTTACTTAATGCTTTTGTTATTGATAGTTTCGTATTTAAATCATCAGCTTGCTTTGCACGACTCAAAAGATCCATAACTCTTAATAATTCATTTAAATATTCTGATAATTTTGTTTTCCATTGTTCAATTAATTTCTTTTGTAAAAAACAAGAAAAAACACATTTATATTTTGTTTCTATTTCACTTATTTCTTGTAGACGATTAGCTATAATTTTTGCATTTTCAGATATTTCATCTGCATTTTTTCCTTTGTACTTTTCAATTTTTTCAAAATTGTTTTCCATTTCATTTTGAACAAAACTACTAAAATATTTTATAAATTCTATCAAATTATTTAATGTAGACTGACAATCACTTTCAAATGGAGCACGAATTTTATTACAAATATATAAATAATTTAAACCTTTTTCAGCTTTACTAAAATCTAATGTTTCATATTTTTGTTCTTTCCATTTTTCTATATTAAATGTATCTTTAATAATATTAAATACATCATTTATTACTTTTATAAACCATTTATTCACTACATCTATATGTTTATCTATACTAGAAACAAACTCATTCAAACGTTTCATTTCATTCATATACAATACTCTTTTATGCACAGTTTCAATTTTATTAGAATTATCTAAATCTAAATTAGTTTGCATAGCAGATTCTTTCAATTCTTTGATTAGTTCAATAATTTGTTTTTCAATAGTATCGATAATATCTGAATACATACCAGTTCGATACTTTTCTATCCATTTTGCACTTTGAAGACTAATTAAACAATTAGTCAACTTATTAAAATCAATCTGTTCTTGTCGAAATAAAGAAAATAAGAGTTGTTCAACATCTCGTCTACATTGATTAACATATTTTATTACTTTTTCTAATGTACTAAAATATAATTGAGTAGTTTTTATATCAAAAGTAGATATTGTTCTAATTGAATCTAATTCACCCATCAATGGTTCTAAATTTGAAAGTTCAGTTGTTTGATCAATTTTTTCAATGATGACTTTAAAATAATTCATAATTTTCAATGAAAGATTTTCATAAATTGAATTCAATTCTTCCTTTGAAATATGTGAATGAAGAGCAAATGTATTATTAGCAGATTCTAACATACGAATACAACTATTTAAATTATCTATATCACTTTTATCTAGCTTTTTAGTAAAAGTATCATTAAATTTTACTGTAGAAGCATTAAGATAGTTTAGGAAGTTTTTCTTTAGATTATTATATGTTTTTTCTAGTTTTTCACGATCGATATGACCGTCTAAAACATTGAGTGCCTCGCGTAGTTTTGTCATATTACTAGCACTATTGTTAAACTGAGTGGATTGCACTGAAGTTTCGAAAGATTCTTCTATCAATTTGACTTTTTCAATCAACAATTGATAAATATTGTTATATGTAATAGAAACATCTGGAAAAACTGTTGAAAGAAGCTTTATTTTATCTAAACTGATTTTTACTAATGGATTATCTATATCTCGATCTTTTAAATTAGTATACAGTGTATCTACTAGCTCATTTCGATATTGAACAAACGCGCTACTATGAACGACATCCTTGCCTAAATGATTTACTCTTAAGTTTTCTGCATCTTGAGAATGTTTCATGGGTTGGCCGTCCAAATGTCGAAAGGAAAAATGTCGAAAGGAAAAATGTCGAAAAGACGAAGGGGAAAAATGTCGAAGAGGAAAAATGTCGAAGGGAAAAATATCGAAAGGAAAAATGTCGAAAGGGAAAAATATCGAAAGGAAAAATGTCGAAGAAAAGAATATTAAGATGAAAAATATTCGATAAATGTTTTAGAGAATTCTGATTAGTGAAGGACATATNGAGTCGAGTCGAGTCGAGTTAGGTTTTTTCAAATGTCTGTCGAGTCGAATCGAATCGAGTGAATACTTAAGTCGAGTCGAGTCGAGTCGAATCAGATTTTTTTGACTCGTTTCGGTCTCTGGTTCTCACACAATTATCTCAGTTTTTATATTTTTGACAAAAATTGATTTGTTTTGAGGATCGGGGTGGTGGGTAGGAAGCTTAAGATCTGAATTTTATGCATATTTTATGTCTTTTTAAAATTATCAATACTTGCTTGAGTCAAAAAATTTTTGCCCATCATTTTTTTCAAGCACCAGAGAAGTTTGCCCATTGGTCTAAAAATCCTGGTTACGCCACTGGTCACGATTTAACAATATGTTTATGATGTTAAACATTGATCAGGTATGAAAATAATCCACCATATTTAAGCCACAAATTTCGGTCCAGTAACTCAGGTATCTCGTTTTATTACAATTTCATGAAACATCTCACAAGCAAATGAACCACAGTGAAGCTACGGTTTTCTTCATAAACGATCAGTATTTGTGTATTTCACAGCACTGGTGCACGATTGTATAGTTTCCGATTTTCAGTTAAGATAAACTTATTTCTTTTCTTTATGATAAATAACTATCTGTCTCAAATCATTGAATTCTTTATTTTAGTTGCGGGTGTCGATGTTGGTGTGGTTGTTCTTTTGTTCTACACCCACACCCATACCCTTCTTTTTTAAACTTAGTAATTTTTGGAAGAGTGACTTGATGGTACAACGTGTTCAGTCTATTTTGAGTAAAAGATTAGTAATATTACACATAACGATGCCCATCATTCAAGCAATCATGACGTGGTCAGTGGACTAGTCATATTTCCGTCGGTTTTGAGAAAAGACGAGACAGGTCGCCACGTCATGACTAAAAATTTGACTAGTCTTTTTACCCATGTTTTGTTTGCCTGGGTAGCCGTTGTAACTTATAATATTTCATTTTTGAGGAAAGAAAATTGAAATATCTTATGTATGTGAAATTGTTTATTAAAAATTTCAATTAAATTACATAAAAAAGACGAACAAAAAATTATTATTATCCATCAAGATTATTCAATATAAATCATAACGACAAATACAACTGATAATAGAAAATAATAATGAACATTGACAGAAAAACAAACATAATTCAATGAAATATGTGGGGGAGATAAACAACGCAAGTATCATCGATAAAAAACAATGCAACATTTATTCAAGAGGCTTTATTTTTATGTGTAGAATCTTCCGAATCTCCTCTCATATGCTTTAACCAGATCGTCCCCTTTTGAACTTCCTTCAACATTTCTAAGAATCTCTTTTGTCACTAAATCTGTGAGCATGTCTGCACCTGAAGAAGAATTTATATCTAAAAACGCACTATTTCCTCCAGTTTTCTGCGTAATTTCTCTAAAAATCTTTTGTGCAGAGTTGTTAACAAAAAAAGCATGCACTGGAATCTTATTTGCTATTAGCTGTACTAATTCAACTTCATAATAGGTTGCTTTTTCAAATTTTGTTTTTTTCCAGTAATCTTCTCCAAGGTATTGTCTTTTCTTATTTACGTCAGCCTTAGTGTTGGGAGGGGCATCACCAATCAAAATAATCTGTGTGATATTTTCTCTTTCATTCACTCTATTAGCATGCCATAAACCAATTTCAATAGCTTCATTGCCCCAACCTCCTTCAACATTGATGGTATTCATAAAAGCTCTTCAATTATCATGTTTGGTTTCCCATGGAGAATGTTGAAGAATCTTATCTTCTCGACTATTATAATTTCGATAGACTACGAATTGAACTTCAAATGAATCTTCATCAATTTTATTCTCTTTTAAAATTAGAGAAACACGTTCAAACATTGTGCCAACTGTATTCTTAGATTTCTGTAATAGATGACTCATTGATCCTGTTGCATCCATTAAACAAATAGTTCGTGAACTTAATGTACCTTCTACTCCTTTATTTTCTTGGATTAAAAACGTGCTTACAGAATTAGTATTTCCTGATTCAAGACTCAATAAAAACCTCTGACTTATCCTATGTCTTTCTTTTGCTTGTTGAACATACTTTGTATTAGCTTCATATTGTGTTTCAGAGAAACTCATACGTTTATCATGAAGAAGATCATAAACACATTCATATCTCTTTGTTACTTCCGCATCATTAGTACCTCTATCAACACATCGAACTGTAACTGGTCTACCATCTTTTATGTTCTGAATATCACTTTTTTCTATTTGAAATTTCTCTAGATCATCATCAAGTAAAATCATACTATAAGATCCATAATCACCCTGTCTTGCTGTTCTACCTTTTATTTGTACTTCTTCTGATATTTCCTCGGATAGAAATGTTTGAATCACATGAATACCACCATTAGCAGCGACAAATGGATCATGACAAATAAAGTCAGTTCCCCTACCAAATGCTTTGGTAAATAAAGTTACTTGGCCAGATCATGTCGCACGTTTAATTAAACTTTCTTTTTCTGTTAATGATGCTTCTTCTGTTAGATAAACAACGGAGTCTTTTATAGACTCTAAAGCTTTTGATTCATAAAATGTTTTTAATTTCTTTTGTGATTCGAAAAATACCAATACAGCACGTTTTTCTGACGATTTTCCTACTAATCTATCATTGATTTCTCTTATTATCACATTAAAATAGTTATCACTGCTCTCAATCCTAATGTCATCTTTTTTTGTAAATTTAAGATTATTTGCACCGAATACTGATGGAGTAATTGTAGTTTTATTGACTTTATATACATCTTTTATAATTGATTTTTCTGGATCACTTAAAGTTACTAATGTTCCTGTAACACCCATGATATATTGAAATTGAAGGGGTGTTTCAGCATATGAAAAATCACCACATTTAATTCGTATGCATATATTATCTTCTAAGCTTTGTCTACTTATTTTACCCTTTTCATGTTCAAAATAATATGCAAATAATGTTTTGTAACCATAGGCAGCATTGTATATGATATTATCCTGCTCAATATATCCAATTTTATCTTCTTTAACAACATAATTATGAGACTCGAAACTGTTTACGTCACAAAGCATATCTTTAATAGCTTCTTTAATTAATGATTCCCATTTTGGAAATCTAACACAACAATTTCTATATTCTTGTGCTTCTTTAATCTTATTTAAATTTAACTTTGATTTTCTCTGTGTCCATATATAATTGACTAATGATGTGATTGTAGGTTCTTTTAAACTAGCTGCAGGTGTATAAACATTGCCATAAAAATCTCGACTAAAGAAAACATCAACTTCATCAATTAGTAATATTTTCGGACGTTTGATTATTTTTGCGTTTTCTACAGCAATATTCGAATCGTTTGAAATTAATTGTTCAACTACTTAACGAATATCACCATTCTCATTAATTATATATTCACATAGCTTATTAAAAGTACCATAATGAATATGATTCAATATACCTAATGAATCGAATAATGGTACAAATGCTGTATAATCCAGTAGACTTAAGTATTCACTATAACATGCACAACATACATCAAAGCCAAGTAATGCAAGTATTGAAGCTGTTGCTCCTAATGTCACAGATTTTCCCTCACCAGTTCCTATTTGTACTAAGTTATTACTTAATTCTTCTTCAGTATCATCAATACCGAGCATACGAAATATCGAAATAACTTGAGCTGTATGAGGCTGAAAGAGGTAGCTATCTCTATTGCCTACACCATCAGCTTCAAAGTAATGCTGTGCATTTTGAAGTGTCCATAATGCAAAGACATGAGCGGCTAACTCAGGTACTTTATTTCTTATAGTGGAGTCCCACTGAATATCTTTTGGCTGCTGTTTCACATATCCAGCGAATAGTTTGGTGTCAGCAATTAGTGGATCCAATACCACATTAAGTTTGAGATACTGTTTGACTAAACGGTCATAGATATCATGAAACTTCTCATATCTCGTTTTCAATTTCTTCTTGTCTAAAACCTCACCGGATATATTTTCTAGTACATAATCAATTCCATGTCTTCGACTTTTTTCATTAAACAAAGACAATGAATAACCTTGGAATGCAGTATGTTCTGCTACAATACTCTGACCTATACCAGTTTCATCTTGATTTAAAAGTACGCCTAATTTCCCAAAAGCTGTCGGATCTTTTTTTCTATTTTTAAACTCAACGAGTATCGCATCGATTTTCTTATGCATTTTAGGCTTGAATGATAGAATATTATCAGCAGCATGTTTCATATGTATTAAAATCTTTGCAACATCATCAATTCTTGTCGCAGATTCTATTTGGGCTTCCCATTGTCGAATTTTTTCAAAAAATTTATTTTCAATCTTTTCGGTTTTATGACTAATTTCAAATTTTGTTATTTTCATTTCGTTTTTAAATGATATCATATTATTATAATATAAATTAAAACTATCATATTCCTGCCTATTCAAGTTTTCATCTCTAATAAATCTATTTAGAAGAGTTTCAGCATTAGAAGATATCTCTGTAATTTGTTTTTCTAATGATTTTAGGCATTCTTGCTCAGCATTTATCACATCAAAATTTATTTTATAATTACTAAATTGTTTAGCATTACTAAGAATGCTATATTTTTCATTTAATTTACTATAAAATTCATCTCTCTGTTTACTAAATCCTTTAGTGAGATCATTGATAAGTTCTTGACGAATCAACTCCCTTCTCAACTCTGTAATCCTAGGCGCAATGGATTCCACAATTTTTGGAAAAAGTGCGAATTTTTTTATTGTTATAGGAACGGCATTTGCTGAATCATCAATGGTATGATATATATTATAATGATCTTGTATTTTTATAAATAACGAATTCCATTGTTGTGATGTATCTAAAATATCTTTAAGAGATGTAACATCTAATTCCTCTAAAGCCTCTTTGTATTCTTTCTCACATTCAACAAGATATTGTACTAGTCTTTCGTTTAATGTTCTAATTTTTTGATTGAAATCTCCTGGAAGCATATCAATTAAACGTGGTGCATTATTACCATTATCTGTATCTGTACTTTTAATACTAAATTTCATATGTTCGGTTAAATTAACAAAACTCTTCTCTACTGCTTGAACTGTATCATTTGTAACCATTGATGAACTACTATCTAAAAATCTATTAAAAAAACAGCTATATGCTTCGAAAAAGATAATTTTTATCTGATTTTGTACATCTAAACATGGTTTTCTAATATCCGGGAAAAGATTTAAAAATTTAACTCGATACTCATGTAGTATTTTTACATTAAAAAATGCTTCTACTATATCATGTTCTTCAAAGCATTTCTTTATTTTAATAACAACGCCCTGTATACTTTTCAAAATAAATTCTCGACCTCTATTTCAATAATTTCTCATACCATCGGAATTTTTATATTCTTCCAAAAGAGATTTGATACTATTTAAATCGTCACTATTACACGTATCATTCAATCTATTATCATTATCACGAATTGAGCGATCAATATCTTCTTTACAATGTCTTAATTCTTCTTCAAGGATTCTTTTCATATCTCTCGGAAGATGTTTAACAGCAGATTCGAATTTTCTTATATGAATATTATCATGAGTTAGTGGTGTCATCGATTTCGCCTCACCTCATTCTTTTCTGAATTTAGTGAAAATTGCTGTTTTGATTTCATTATAAGCCCCATTATATATTGGGTTTGTATTATTAATGTTTCCAAATTGTGACAAAATCTCAGCAGGTGGATGTAATGTATATTCACTAATATCCATATCTGAATATTTTTTAACTACATCGATTGATACAGCATTATTTTGACTAGTTTTTAGTTCATCGATCTGTTTGGAAATATCTTCGGTACAATAAGATCCTAACAGATTACGTACTAAAGTTATTGAATCGATTTTTTTATCAGTCTCATAAAAATTATTGCTACTGATAAGAACTTTGATGCCATCGATAAAGCGGTTTATTCATTCTGCTAGTAATATTTTAACTTCTTCTGCGCATTTATTTATATGATCTGCTTTCTCATGAAACTGTGATACAAATTGTTTTGCTTTTTGCATTCATTTTAAATTTTCTACAATAGAATTTATTTCTTCTTTTTCTATTTCATGTCCAAGTATTATAGCCTTATTCTTAGTTTCTTCTAACAACGCATCTAAACCAACATTTATTGCATTAATTGCTTGTCCAGCCTGTTGAAAAAACTGTTCATCAACTATATTTGATGTTTTTAATGCTGTCATTTCAGGAGTGCCGGTATCATTTGCATTTCTTTTTTTAAAAAGTATATTTTGATATTCTTTGTAGGCATCAAAAAAATTTTTATCTTTCATGAAACCATCTAATTTACCTAATGCTTTTACTATTGACAGTTTCGTATTTTAAGCATCAGTTTGTTTTGTACGACTCAAGAGATCCATAACTCTTAATAATTCATTTAAATATTCTGATAATTTTTTTTTCCATTCCTTAATTAATTTTTTTTGTAAAAAATAAGAAAAAATACGTTTATATTTTGTTTCTATTTCACTTATTTCTTGCAGACGACTAGCTAAAATTCTTGCTTTTTCAAATATTTCATCTGCATGTTTTCCTTCGTATTTTTCAATTTTTTCAAAATTACTCTCCATTTCATTTTGAACAAAACTATTAAAATATTTTATAAACTCTTCCAAATTAGTTAGTGTAGACTTACAATCAGTTTGAAATAAATCGGGAATTTCTTTACAAATATATAAATAATTTAAACCTTTTTCAGCTTTACTAAAATCTAATGTTTCATATTCTTGTTCTTTCCATTTTTCTACATTAAATGTATTTTTAATAATATCAAATACATCATTTGTTACTTTTATAAACCATTTATTCACTTGATCTATATGTTTATCTATACTAGGAACAAATTTATTCAAACGTTTCATTTCATTGATATACAATACTATTTGATGTGCATCTTTAATTTTATTAGAATTATATAAATCTAAATTAATTTGCATAGCAGATTCTTTCAATTCTTTGACTAGCTCAATAATTTGTTTTTCAATATTATCGATAACATCACAATACACACCAGTTCGATACTTTTCTATCCATTTTGCATCTCTAAGACTAATCAAACAATTAGTAAGTTTATCAAAATCGATTTGTTCTTGTCGAAATAAAGAAAATAAGAGTTGTTCAACATCTCGTCTACATTGATTTACATATTTTAATAGTTTTTCTAGTGTACTAAAATATAATTGGGTAGTTTTTATATCAAAAGTAGATATTGTTCTAATTGAATCTAATTCAGCCATCAATGGTTCTAAATTTGAAAGTTCAGCTGTTTGCTCAATTTTTTCAACGATGGCTTTAAAATAATTCATAATTTTCAATGAAAGATTTTCATAAATTGCATTCAACTCTTCTTTTGAAATATGTGAATGAAGAGAAAATGTATTATTGGCAGATTCTAATATACAAATATAACTATTTAAATTATCTATATCACTTTTATCTAGCTTTTTGGTAAAAGTAACATTAAATTTTACTGAAGAATCGTTGAGATATTTTAGAAGGTATTCTTTCATTTGTTTATATGTTGCTGCTAATTTTTGGGAATCGAAATGATCGGCTAAAATAGTGATTGCACTTTGTAATTTTGTCAGATTACTGGCGCTATCACTGAACTGAGTGGATTGCACTGAAATGTTGAAAGAATTTACTATTAATTCAATTTTTTCAGTAAACAATCGATGAATATTGTTATATGTAATAGAAACATCAGAAATAAATGTTGAAAGAAGTTTTATTTTATCTAAACTGATTTTCACTAATGGATCATCTATATTTTTATCTTTTAGATCAATGTACATTATATTTACCAGTTGAGTTAGATATTGAGTGAATGTGCTACTGTGAACGGCATCCTGAGTTAAATGTTTGGTTTTTAATTCTTTTGCATCTTGAGAATGTTCGATGCATATTTGATATCGTTGCATATCTTTAATGGTCAAAACTGTTTGATTCATTAAACAACGATTTAAATCTGAAATACCTATTTCATACTCTTCTTTAAGACATGTACTTATGAATGCAACACAATCTTTGTAGATTTGTTCAATATCATCTTGATGCAGTAGATCATTCAAATATTTCAATTGATCAAGTTTATATTGTACAAATAAATAATCAGAACGTTTTGTTGCAGATATGATACTAATTTGATGTTTTCTTACTTGCTCCCGTAGAATACTTTTTGATTTTTCTGTAATACAAAAATGAAATACTTCGTGTGGATATTCAATATCATCGGAACGGACAAGTTCTTGGAGAATCTCTAAAGGGTCATCATTCATTGAATCTATGACTCGTGGATTCTTTCTAGTTTTTAATATCATATCCTACAAGAAACGGGTGAAACTAGTATCCAATTTTTCTTCGTCTCTTAATTCATCACTGATATTATTCAATAATGCATTTATTGGAGATCTTTCTTTTTTAGGGAATTTGGTAAATAAATAGGAAAAAGTTTTTATATTATCTTTAATTCCTGGAATCAATCCTACTAACATATGAGCTAGATCCTTCACACCAGTGCATCTATCACCAATGCTCCTGTAACTAATCAAAACAACTGGCCTTACACTTTTACNTCAATCTCATTATTGGTATTTATTTTATTTAATGACTTAGAACATTTAAACATGATTGATCATTTTTGAAAAGAAAAACATCAGATTTATACTGAGGCTTTGTTAATAGTAGAAACAGCGGCGGCATGTAAATCTTTTTTTAATAGAAATAATCTGCTGTTGTTTCATGAAAACTGAAAGGAGGATTTTGAACATCTGCAAAGAAAAGAAAATCATCAATTTTTTTTAAAGATGACAAAAATGATTAGAAGTTAGTGCAGAGAAAGATTGTAAACTAGAAACTTAAGAAAATTGATAATTTGGTAGGAATTATTTTTTGAATTAAAATAAGTTGCTATCCGCTAAAATATTGTTGTAATATGAGTTTAACATCCATGTTGACCGTTCTGGTACTGTCAAAAGGAATAATTTGAAATTCTTCAAAACTTCACTTTTCAACTTTAGTTTCAAATGCAATTCTACTACATAAATAGAGTCGGTTTCGTACATTTCTTCTTGCTCGAAAAATTGTTAAAATAAATTCTTTTATGTGACGATGATAAAAAAGACATTTGGATTTGAAGTGGCAATAAACGAAAGAAAAGAAAAAGAAAACAAAAAAAAAATTTTTTTTTGCAGACTATATACTTTACTAAAACACAAAGCAATCCCCGACACAGAATGAATGGAAGAAACTAAGTCATACACATCATTAACCTTTTTTCTCACACGGCCTTAATATAGATGCGACTTCCAAGTCGCTATACTGAAAATTTTATTCGAATGTAGCTTATGCGAATAGTGATACCATCTCAAAACTAGAACAGCTTGTCAATGAAGTTAAAATATTTACTTCTCCTGATCACTGTATGATGTAAATATTGATTTTGTCTTGCGTTTATAAATTAAATAGAATCGATGAAAATAATTAAAAAAAGACTACACACACATTGAAGACATATGTGAATAAGGATGTGGGTGTGAGATGTGAATCATCTCTCACTCGGCAATTGCACCCACACCCCACCCTGAACGTATTATGGGATTCTTATACTAAATGTAATTAAACCAATAGAGTTCTCTAGAGTGATAACTTATATCGATGCGTCATCGTTCGGAGAAGACTAGATTTTGATATTGACAAAGAATTGATTTAGGCATAAGACTTTCCAAATTTCTTTCTGTATGCATCAACACGAGCGTTTTCTTTTGATTCTTCGCCGACATTTTTTAGAACAACTTCTGTTACTAAATCTGTCAACATATTCGCACCTAAAGGAGAATTTATGTCTAGCGGTTCACATCTTCCTCTGAATTTCTCAGCAATCTCTTTAAAAATGGCTTTTGCGCGTTTGTTGACAAAAAAGCATGAACTGGAATCTTATTCGATATTAGCTTCGCTAACTCATCGTCATAATAAGTGTCTTGTGCAAATTTAGGATTCTGTCAATATGCCTCTCCAAAACCATTACTTCTCTTTTGTTTTACTTCAGCTTTTGTATTTGGATGTGCATCACCGATCAGAATAATTTGTGTTATATTTTCTCTCTGGTTTTCTTTGTTAGCATGGCACAGACCGATTTCAACAGCCTCATTACCCCATCCTCCTTCAACGTTGATTGTATTCATGAAAGCTCGTAAATTATCTGCTCTCGTTTCCCAAGGAGAAAATTGAAAAATCTTATCTTGTACACTATTATAGTTTCTATAGACGACATATTGAATTTGAAATGAATCTTCACTGATGTTGTTGTCTCTTAAAATTTCTGTAGTGCCCTCGAACATAGTTCCTACTGTATTTTTACAGTTATGTAAGAGATGAGTCATTGAAACTGTAGCATCCATTAAGCAAATTGTTTGTGATTGACTAGAGACTATATTTGCTCCTTTGTTTTTCTTTACTAAAAATTCTTTGACGTAATTGGCATTTGCAGTATTGAAACGTTTGAGAAATTCTTGAGTAGCTTCATAACTATCTTTCGCTTGTTGAACAAATTTTGTATTATTCTCATACTGTGTTGTGAATAAAGCGTTACGTTTATCATGAAGAAGTTCATATACGGTATTATAGGTTTTTGTCGAATTAGGCACACTTGCACGACCATCTGACATTCTTTTACCTTTCTTAACATCTTCAATATCTTCTCTCTGAATGAGAAATTTCTCTAAATCACTATCGAGCAGCACCATACTATAAGAACCATAATCCCCTTGTCTCGCTGTTCTCCCTTTGATTTGTATTTCTTCTGAAAACTCTTCAGAAAGAAATATCTGAATAACATTTGTACCGCCATTTTTCTCAACAGTTTTGTCATAGCATATAAAATCTGTTCCTCTACTGAAAATTCTCGCGAGTAAGATTATTTGACCAGATGCAGTGGTACATTTAATTACAAGCTCTTTTTCTTCTGAATTTGCCTCTTCTGTTAAAACGGCAACTGATTGTTTCATTGTTTTTAATGCATTTGACTCATAGAATTCTTTCAATTTTTTTTTTGATTCCAAAAAAAACCAATATAGCTCGTTTTCCTGATGCTGTTCCTATTAATCTAACATCAGTTTGTCTTCTAATGACATTAAAATAATCATCCTTATTTTCAATTACGATATCATCTCTTTCTGTAAATTTGAGATTATTTTTATCAAACACTGATGAAGTACATGTATTTTTTCGAAATGTTATAGGTGTTTTGTATAATGTTTTTTTCAACATCACTTAGAGTTTCTAACATTTCTGTTACGTCCATTATGACGTTCAACTGGAGTGGAATCTCAACATACGAAAAACTATCACATTTAATATTTACATTTATTCTTTCTTCTAAACTATTTTTAGTTATTTTTCCCTTTTCATGTTCACAATAATATGCAAATAAAGTTTTATAACCATAAACAACATTGTATACAATATTATCCTCCTTAACAATATAATTATGAGACTCAAAGCTGATTACGTCATAAATGAGACTTTTAACAGCCTCTAGAATCAATGGTTCCCTATTTGGAAATCTATTAGAACAAGCTACATATTCTGGTGTGGCTTTAACTTGATTAAGATTTAATTTCGATTTTCTTTGTGTCCAAATAAAATTGGTTAACGATGTAATAGTAGGATCTCTTAAGCTAGCTGATGGTGTACAGACATTCCCATAAAAATCTTGACTGAAGAAAACATCAACCTCGTCAATCAATAATATTTTAGCTCGCTCAATACGTTGACTATTTGATACAATATTATTAGAACCGTTTGATATAAACTGTTCTACCGATTGACTAATCTCTTCATTTCGATTAATCATTTCTGCACAGAGTTTATTAAATGTACCGTAACGAATATTTTGGGTTATACCTAATGTATCGAATATCTTTAAAAATCCATTGTAATCTCTTTGACTTAGATACTCACTGTAACATGCATAATATACATCGAAGCCAAGTAGCGCGAGTATTAAAGCTGTGGCTCCTAATGTTACCGATCTTCCCTCACCAGTTTCTATTTGTACCAAATTATTTTTTAATTCTTCATTTTTATCACCTATACCGAGCATGCGGAATATTGAAACAACTTGAGCTGCATGAAGCTTAAGAAGATAGCTGTTTTTATTTTCGACATCCTGAACTTCAAAATAATGATGTGTACTTTGAAGTGTCCACAAAGCAAAAATACGCGCTAGCAGTTTTGTAATTCTACTCCTCACATCTGCGTTCCAAACGATGTTTCATGATGTTTGTTTTATATCTTCAGCAATTCTTTTCGTCTCGAGAATTAATTGATTGAGTTCTACATTAGACTTAAGATTCTGCTGTATTAAATCCTTATAAATAGCTTCAAATTTGCGATACCGCATTTTCAATTTACTTTTATCAATACAATCACTGCTTAAATGCTCTAGAGCATGATCAATATCGTTTTTTTGAATTTTCTCATTGAACAAAGACAAAGCGTAACTTTGAAATGCTTTATGCTCAGCAATGATACTTTGGGTCACACAACTCAAGTCTTGAATTAAAATAGCTCCTAATCTTGAAATAGCGTTCGTAATTTTTGTTCTATTTTTATGATTAATTAAAACTTCATCTATTCTTTGATTTATTTTAACATTAAACGATGGAATATTATTTGAAACATCCTTCATGTTGATTAAACTCATAGAAATATTTTCAATTGATGATTCTTTTTCAACTAACTGTTCCCACATTCGAATTTTATCAAAAATTTCTTTTTCAATTTTGTCATCTATTTCAAACTTTGCTCCCTTTACTTCTTGTCGAAATGATAACAAATTATTATAGTACAAAATAAAAAAATGATAATCTTTGCTTGTTAATCCAGCCTCTTCAACGAAACTTTTCAAAAATTTATTGATGTTAGTATGAATGTCTGTTGCTTTTGTCGCTATTGATTTGAAACATTCTTCTATAGCTTCATTTACATTAAAACTTAATTCATACTTACTAAGAAGTTTAGCTTCAAGAAGCTTTCCGTTGAGTTTGTTATAAAATTGATCACGTTGTTGGAAAAATTCTTTTGTATGCTTATTGATAAGTTCTTGACTAGTTAGTTCAGTTATTACAGCTTGTATTTTTTCAGATATGGATTGTAACATATCTGAATAGACTGTCAGTTCTTCAACAAATTTCAACATACTATTCACTGAAGTATCATTGAAATTATACGTTAGGACATCATTTCTCATTTTCGTAAGCAACGAATTTCATCGATCCTGAAACTCTAAAGTATCTTTAAGAGATATAATGTTCATCTTTTCCAATCCATCTTCGTATTTGTAAAAACTGATTCATAAAATTATTATATGCAACTTGAAATTTATTATCCATTTGACGTCGTACTATGGTATATCCGTTTTTAATATTGACTCCAATAGTGTCTAACTCGCATGTATATTGATAAAGGTCTTTTACAAGGGCTAATGTTTTGCTAATATTATCTTGTTCGCAATTTTGATTTATTTTATGGGCAATATCTTGTACCTATTTCAAAACGAGATTTCCACCCTCGTTTAGAAGAGTTTTCTTACCTTCTGACTTTTGATAACTTTGAAGAAGATTTTTGATAGCTTTCGGATCTTCAGTACGAATTACATTTTTCGATTTGTTAAGATTTTCTTTAACCATCAAATTAATATGATCCCTATAGTTTTTCAATCCTACTTCAAGAATATTTTTTNCTTATTTCAAATCCATATATCTAATACATTAATGTTTCTACATGAATATTATCATATTCAAATTTCCAAAGATTTTTTTCTTCGATTAAAAAATAGAATTGTTATGTGGTTTGTTAACATAAACATTAATAGTAATAAAAACAGCATGATGATGTTGTTTTTTTTTTTCATTTTTCCGATCGTAATAATGATAGTGAACGCTATATAATTGACTTCGGAATCCAAAATCTGGTTTCAATCATTTCTTAGTGAGCATTTAGAAAGGTGTGTATTAGAAACCAAATAAGTTGCAATAGAGTGGTAAAGCATCTCGAATTTTTACATTGTAATAGAAGTTTATTTTTGAATTTCCTATTAACTCGAATTTTGACAATGGAAGGGCTTGACAAAATTTGGCTCAAGCAAAATTTAGCTGGTGTAGCTTTGATCAGTCGGATGGCTGATACCACTCTTTCCCTATCCTTGGTTATACTACTATGTCATACACGTAGAATATTGAAGATAATAATCCTATCACTTCTAAAACGAATGCTATCTCTGTCTCATATTTTATATTTCTTTTATTTTTCTTACTATAGATAATTTTAGAATAATGTATAATGGCAAGCAAACTATACACGAAATCTCTGATAATAATTTACAAAAACCAAATATTTATAATCAATATTTGCCATATTATGAATCAATTAAACAGCAAAGTTTAGAATCATTTGACGAAATCTGTGAAAATCTTTCACGTCTTATTCAATTACAAGAATTACAACCTGGTTTTCCACTTTGGTCATCAAAATTACAACAATTTATTTCACTTTATGGTTTTTCTTTCACAAAAATCAATCATATAAAATTAATTGAATTCTATTTATCGATTCTTTCAATTAAAAATTTAAATTATGTCAATACAAAAATATGTTTTGATATGTTAACTCAACTTACACGGTTCGTTTTAATATCTTTTTTCAGATAGTTACTAAACCAAAAATATAGTTCGTATGAATTTTTCTTTCTAGTAAAACACGTCTGATTACAAGAAATGATCTAATTATTGATTGGCGAATACTTTATGTATGGGGAAAACTTGTTCTTTTCAATCATGATGAATCTTATTCACTTGTTTCTATGCCCAAGTTTGTACTGTAAACAGTTTGATAATAAAAGAATACTCTTTTTTTTAATATTTTAGACAAATTGTAAATTCATTCTTATTTTGTGTACGTAGTTGTCGTCCTTATTTTTCAGTAACAGCTACTCAAGAAATTCTGGATGAATTTCGACCATGTTTATGTCCATTTGATACAGTTTGTGGTGATGTTATGAGTTATTGGGATATGTTTTTACCTGTTCATTTACCACCAGAGTTACATCATCAAGGATTTAAGTAAAATAATTAATCATGACAATTTTTGTGTTTTCTATTTGTGTGTTTATTTTAGATTGTGGTTATCAGAATTTTTGGATATTTGGGAAACTGTTTGTAATAATCCAGAATGGGAACAAGTGAGTTGAATTCTCATTAGAGTACTGCACGGGTACAACTTTTCGTACCTGTACCCTACCCGACACCTTATTTTTTACCCCGTACTCTACCCTACCCGTAGGTTCCAATTTCCTAGAATCTTCTCCTATTCCCGGCTCGCAACCCACACATCTGGAATAGAGTAAACCCTTCCCCAGAATAAAAGAGCATGGCCTTATATTGCGTCTCCGCACATCGTTGCTTTCTAGGTGGCCTTCTATTGAGGTCAGCTTTTGACCAATTATTAATTAAAAATTTTAAAAAACTATAATAATTAATTATAATTAATTAATAATTTTAATTGAGGTATTTCTGATATTTTTCGTGGAAAAACCGCTGTTTTCATATAAAAATATGCTCTCAATGATGGAATATGGAGCGATTTCTCAAAAAAACAGTAATTTTTGGCTAATTATTAATTAATATTTACGAAAAATTAAATATTTTTGTAATTAATTAATTAATTAGTTCATGGCCTTCTAATAGGGCTGATGAACTTTTGTTCAGACATGGCCTTCTAATGGGGGTGGCCTTTTATTATGGGAAGGGGTTTACTGCACGGGTACAACTTTTCGTAACCGTACCCTACCCTACCCGTAATCAACTGTACCCGATACCCGCGTCGGGTTTGGGTACCCGACCCGCGGGTTGCAGTACTCAAATTCTCATAGTTAAATATTTCTATGAACAAATATATTTATATTTAGAGTTTAATTAGTTTATTTTCGTTTGTTGCTTGGTGCAATATTGGATATATTGATTGGGAACCGTGGCTTGCACGTGTAAGATTTTTTTCATTTGATTGTTTTTGTTTTAATCATATTTATCGATTAGATTTTTACAAGAATATTAAAAAATCTTTCACTTCCAGTTGGTAATGTAGAATTAACAAAAGAAACACAAAATTATTCTATACCAGTTGTTGCTACATGGATTGTTGCTATGATGGGAAATCATAGTTCGTGTATTCAATATTTACGAGATTTATTAACTGCAATAAAAATTTTTTATCATCCTTCAAATACAGGAGAATTTCAGATAGAACTTGTTAGTTTTCTTTCAATGCTTGCACAAACCTTTGTTGATCGAGTTTATTTGTAAGTATATTACATTTATAAATCTCACTTTGTTGAATGTCATTCATTTCATATACTTTAACAATAAATCTAATAAATGGTATCTATTTTTGCTTCATAACCCTACGGAAAAGAATGAAGTTTCTTAGCCACAATCGACTCATCGTGATGATTATATTGAAAAAATGAAAAGTCATTAACGACTACGTAGTTAGAAATAAATAACTCTAATACATTGCCTTTCATGTAGTTTACAATAGTATAAACTTTAGATTTTTACTCTCTCAGATTATCGGATAAACACAAATTGAAGATTAATTTAATAAGCAGCCCTTTTTCAAAATGATGACAGTCAGACAAAGACTGCCTAAAACTGAAGCTAATGCTGACGTTGTTACGATGAACAGTAGTGCCATTAATGCAATCATTCCGCGGATTTTCATCCATAAGGAAATCATTATATACGAATTTTAGGAAGGCTAACGCTTTCGGAGAGTGAGATCTTTAACTTCATTGCTGCATGTATACCTTTTTTTTTATCTACGAATTCATTGTAGTGAACGTACAACTGAGCCAGTTTGGTACTTTAATCCACCGAAATCTCATCGACTTCGCGACGAAGATATTAATGATTTTGTTAATTGCCTTAAAGAATGTGCATTTATATCTATATTTAACAAAAATCATCTTGACTTAGCGGCTGAAACATGTCAATATCTTTCTCAACTTCGGCCAGAACTTATTGTTCCGCCATTAGTTGAATTGTTTGTATTGTTTAATCTTTTTTTCGCATTATTAATTGTTTCATTACTCATTAGACTTTTTTCTTCGATCGATAACATGACTGAACCACATCGTTTTACATCAATAATTACTTGTCTAACTGGTATGACTCGTCAAATTATTCGGCAAACATCGAACTTTTCTCAAGGTCAAGCATTTGTTTTACCATTATTAATATCTGTTTTACCTGGTATCGATACAAATGATTTTAAAAAAACTTCAATTACATTTCAATTTCTTAATGCTATTTTAATGCTTATTACATGTGTCGATTGTTCATCTGCAGTTAATACAAGAAATGATCTTAGCGAAGTTAGAATAATTGTAAAATAAATATATAATTAATTTTTTTCTCGATTATAGATTGAAAAAGAAGTTTGTTTATCAACAGCTAAATTTGAAGATTTTATTAGTGAACTTCTTAATCGAATATTTCAAATGATTAATACATTATCAACAGAAATGTCTGATGCTTTAATAATACCAATCGATTCAAAAATGGAAAATCATCAAATTGGTGTAGAATTAACATCAGTAATTTCATGCATTGTTCAACAATGTAGTAAACAAATTTTTCATGTATGTTTTTATAATTAAATATATTTTCAATAGAATGAAATTTATTTTAGATGGTTCGAGAAAAGATAATAAATTATCTTGCAACATATTCTTTTTCTCTTAAAACAAATAAACTTCTTACGGGTCTTATTCAAGCTATTTTAAAAAGTAATCCAGTTGAAACATTAAAATATCTTTTACTACAAACATATGAACGTATTGAAAAAATTCTTAACCAATCAGATATGTTCATTTTAAATGATCATAAAGGTGATCCTGAATTAACATGGTGTTTAATACTTTTTTCTGAACTTGTTGGTGCTCATGGTGATACTTTAATCATTTATAAATCAATGATTTTATCAATTTTTCATCGATGTATTCATATTATTCATAAAGATTCATATAAAGCTATGGCAAAAGCTGCTAAAAATTTACTTAAATCATTATCATATGTTTATCCAATTGATTATCGATTGACAGTTGAAAATATTACAGAACCATTTACTGATTTTTTACCTATTCGGGTATGAATGATTTACTTTGTTAAATATTAGTTAATCTTGTTATATTTCTAGGCATGGGGTCAATATGTTGAATATGATAAACTTAATGTCAAATTTCATATTCCGAATGAAGAAGAAATCAATTTTGCATGTGAATTTGTTGAAACATTTATGTATCTTGAACTAAAAATGTTAAATGAAAAATGTACAAAAATGTCTAATGATGAACGATTACGATCTCTTACTCTTATTCATCATATAGCTATTGGTTGTTTACGTATGGTTCCACGTATTGAAAGTAAAGAAGTTCAAAATCTGTGAGTAACAATTGAATACTATCTATATATGTTTATATTCAAACAAAATAAATGTATTTTATTTATTTCTCAGTGTATCATCGATTGTTCCATATGATTCAAAAATTCAAGCTCAATATTCTCTTTATGTTAAAGAACCAAGTAAGTAAACTGGAAGTTATTAATTATTTTCGCTTAGAGTATGATAAGATTATGAGATCATATTGCCAGAATTTTGACCTTTTTAGTCTTAATAAAAAAACTCAGTGCTGATTTTTGCGTTTTTCTGATAGACATATTGTCGAACAAACATAGAAGGCAATTTTTATTCCAACATGCTCTATTAGAAGAATATCAAGCGTATCTGTTAAATCATATATTATTGGTTATAAAGTTTGAGAACTTTTAAAAAAGAGCTCTACAATGTTATCATCATTTCTTAGTGAATTTCGACCCATAATATCTGATATCTAAAACAGACATATAATGCTATGCTGATTCAATAATTCATACAAGTTTTGAAGGATTTGCTAATACATCGTATGTTATCGATTAGAGAAAAAGAATAATACCAGGTCTACATTCAAAGAAGATTAAGAATATATGTACGTTGTTTTTTAGAATTTAAAGAGAATCTTCGAATGCATCTTCTTATCGATATTGGAAATTTAATTGGTAAGATTTTTGTTAGCCTGAAAATCACTCATAAAACATTCATTTTAATGTTTTTTTAGATCATCTTATTGCATATCATTCAGACGATGCATCGTCGATTAAAATAGCTCTTAAAGTAATTAGAGATTGTTTATTTTTAATTTATTTGTTTTTGACTATTCTAATTCAAAGATTTATTCTCTTTCATCAATGTACTATGGTACATTTGAACAAAACATAAACAAATTATGCAATGATTTAAATATTATTAAATATTTATATAAAAATAAATTATGTGGTATACAACAATATCCTCGAATTATCATCATTCAACGTATAGCAATACAAATTGAAGTAATCGATTTTATAATAAAACAAAAAGGAAATAACTTATGTCGATTTTTGATAGTTATTTTCATTGAGTAAATTTCGAACATTGACTGAAATTGATCAGCAAGTTATATTTAAATTATTTCAATTATCTATTCATCGATATAGTGAAGTAAGTTTAACATCAATAAATATGATTCGATTTATCGACTTTTTCTTTTATGAAACACGATTGGGAGCGACTATTCAATTAAGATTAGAACATTTAATTGAGAATATCAAAGTACGATTCGACCAAGCCCGAAAAATGTCAATTGACTGAGTCTAATAGCATATTCACGTTTCACAAAACGTTCAATAAATCACTTTCGATCCAGATCCGAAAGTTTTGAATCCGATGGACTCTATATTCTAAATCTTATATCAATAATGTTTCATTCTATATATATGAACTACTCCCTTATTATACTTCTGGAGAATTAAGTAATAGGATGTTGACTGACTGGCAGCTATGTTTTTTTGCTTTTCTAGGTTCGTCGTCAAGCACAAAGTTATTTATTTACCATGCTCTCTCGTTTTTTCTTTTCATATCAAATAATTCTTGACCATGTTATTGAATTACTTAATAAATCTGACGAAGTTGATCATGATCAAATAAAAGGTTGTTTATATATACTTCTTGGAAATGATTCAATTTTTCTACCAACGAAACATTCATGGATACTACTTGAAAAATTATGGCCATCTATTGCATCTACAAAACATGCAAGAAAACTTAGTACACAAAATCTAATCAATTGTATTATGGAAAAAATCTATAAACGTTTTAACACAGTAGCAATTATTGAAAATACGAATGAAATTTCAAGACAAGCAGCTGTTAATTTATGGTGTTCATTAGATAAACATGAATTAGAATTGTATAATCGAATTCATGAAGAAAGAATTGAAGAAAATATTTGTTCATATAATAATCTAATGGAAAAATTAACTTCATTATTTTATAATAATGTATTGTAAGTTTCTTTTTCTTTCATTTTAAATAATTATAGTTTATCCCTGTGATGTTTAGAACTTGTCGACAACAAATCATAACGATGACATTTATTTCATTTCTTTTCCAAAAACAAGTTCCAATTCCGTTATCATGTATTCGAATTGTTGTAGATTTTCTTATCCATGAAAATATTGATATACGAAAGGTTTGTTTAGCAAACTACTACTAGTTCGCATGAGTATGCTTGCAATTATTCTTTTATGCTATATAATTGCTTCTGTAATAAACGCTTCAGTTTCATATCAATAGAGATCTGAAATGCAATAGATATTCTTTTCCTAGAATAGAATTGAATACACATACGACTTATTAGAAAACTTATCACGCAGAAAGTTAGCTTAAATATATAGAATATTTTATTATAGAAAAAAAAAAAAGAAGAAATTATGTTTCGGAATAGGATCATCCATAGAGGACATTTAGGAAAATCGGAGAAAGATCATATATGTACATCTGGGCGTTCGGATACTTATTAAGAAGATTTCTTTTTTTGTCATTTTTTTATTACATTTTTAAGTTAAAATTGGCTTTAATGAGTATTTTTCAAAAATAGCTTCTTAGAGTTGTATGATGCATCATCTACGAATAAACTATCTCATGTTTAATACAGATTTCTTGTACTTTATTTTTTTCAATGATATATTTCGCATTTAGTGTTATGATCAGGTTAAATGAGTAAAGCATCTGTTCGAGATGAGATAATACTAGAAGAACCATAGAATACATTTTTTCTAATCATCATGATGACATTTACTTTTAATGATTCATCGAATCCGTTGTTAATCTAATTTCCTGCCCAAAAAGAAAATATTAAATCTGATAAAATCTTATAATCAATAGAATTCTTCTGCAATCAAAAACATTTTTTCTTTGTTGTTCAGATAGCCGAACAATGCATATCAGCATTATGTCGTATACAAAAGCCACCAATTATTTATCTTGAAAAACCACTTCATGATATATTATATCATATGAATAAACCATGTCCCGGTGACGAATGTTGTTGTCCAGGTGATCGTGACGATAATTTATGGATTACACTTAATGATTACCAACCACCTAAAACACAGATTGAATGGGAACAAACATGTTTTTTGGATAAATGTTTTCATGGATATTATAAATGGCCAAAAGTAATTAAATATCCAATGAATAAACGAGAACGTTATACCAAAGAAACAATGCCTGAACATGTTGCAATTGTGTATAAACGATTTATGGATAAAAATTTTATTACTAAACTTATAGAATATATGATTATTGAAGATGAAGGAGATGGAATTACTTTTAATATAAATCGATTTCGAATGTTTAAGGTAGAGAATAATTTTTAAAAATTTTCAACATTCAATATAAACAAAATTCTATTTTTCTAGGGTCTTTTTCGAAATTTTGGTTTAGATTTAATGTATCATTTTATGGAACAATTAAATATTTTAATTCATGAAAAAACTAAAGAAAAACAACAAGGTTCTAATCGAGTAGCCGCTGAAATTGTTGCTGGAATAATTCGAGGTTCAAAATATTGGACATTAGACATGGTTTGTAGGCAAAAAATGAATTTATTCATAAATAGAAATCTATTCGATTTATTCTAGCTTGAAGAATTATGGCAAAAATTAATTCCATTTCTTAATGAAGTTTGCGCAAATCTTAGTCCTGAAACGTTATCATATTGGGGTTCATGTTTTAAATTTGGCATGGTTTGTTAACATAATAATTTCATATTTTTTTCTAATCAATAAATTTGTATATGTTGTAGGAAGATTTAGATCCTCGTCGAATGCATCGTCTTATTGAATTCATTCGCACTTTAATAAATGATCAAACAACAGTTAATACATTTCTTGAAACATCACGTTGGTTTTTAATTTTAAAATTAACTAATTTTGAATGGCGTGTACCAGCTATTTGGTGTGCAATTAATGAACATGCTAAAGAAATGCTTGATCATTCATATAAAGCAGTACGAGAACATATTGCTAAGTAAAAGACAATAAATAATATTTCATAATGAATGAAAATAAATTTTGTCTTTTACGTAGTGTTTTATCAGTATCACTTAGTTTCGATATTAAATTACCTAATGGTCAATCAACACGTCATCCCGATGCAAATCGTTTTATTGATACTATTCGAGAACGATTACATCAAGCGATAGAAATTTATGAAAAAAAACCATTAGGTAATATTATAGAAAAAGTTAATTTAAATCATAGAACAATGTGAGATTTTGACATATGAAGAAAGATAATAGAAATTTTACAAAAGAAATCTTTCATAATTACGAGAAAAGTACGAATTTACTCATAGCATCTTTTTGAATAATACTATAATAGAAATCGAAAGCTTATTACGATCAATCCATGGCAATCATTTTTACTTTCACCTTGAAATTCGACCCTCATCATGTTGGCACGAAGTGTTTTGCATCGATGGATGAAAAAATTTTCAAAAAACACAGTACTGAATGTGAAACATAATAAAAATAAGAAAATTTCCATCATAGTGATCTAAATTACTCGAATTGAACTAATTTAGATCATTCAAGTTGCTTTAACTTCTGAACACAAAAAAAAAAATTATAGCATTTCTTCAGTACAATTTAGTCTCATAGCCACCAGTGTCCTAAAAGTTCTTAGTAACTCTAAGATCTGTCTATAGGCAAAATTCCAGATGAAAATATCATAATCGAGCTTTCTACAAATAGCTGATTCAAAAGCCGAAATAAAATGGTCATAACTCTACCGATGTTATGTATGAGCCTGAGCTCATTTGGAGTTTTCTTCTTTACTAAGTTCTATTCATAACCCAAATATGGAGTCGAACGATGTCCGACAGTTGAAAGATTATTTTCAGATTTGAACGAATTAAAAATTTGGTAGTCATTTGAGATTTATCATTTTATATCTAAAGTTAAAAATCTAGCTATTAAACAAGATACATGTTAATTCTTATTGAATTATTTTCGACATACAGCACTATCCAATAATCATTTCAAACTGTTTTGTCTTTTATAGCGAATATTTCTGGACAAAAGATCGAAATTGATCAAGAAGCTCGTAAAGCTTTAAATTTTATTGAAACAGGTAATACGAAAAGATATTTTCACATTATATTGCTTTACTTTTTTTTCTAATTATTTCATTCAGTGATTCAATTTCATACACGTATATTTATGTGGTGTTTACAACCAATGAAAAGTGCAATTGTTCGAATATTTCCATATGTATGACTGTTATAATAAAATATGACAATCATAATTTGAATGTATTTTTTTCTTTCTTTAGCTTTGCGATTTAGAAAGTATTGTTTCAAGTGAAAATTTAACAATCAGTCGAATGTATGTGGCTATGACTTATTTGCATACACCTTTTCTTGAGTCATTGATTGAACAATTAGAACAAGTGAATCAATATTGAATAAAAAACAAAACATTAGGAAATTATTTTTTCTTTCATTCAAAAAATAAAGGTTTGTACAAGTTCGAAATGGCATGCACGTCGTGTAGCTATGGAATTCCTACAACATATGATTTTTTGTAATCTATTTAATGCTCGATCTTATAAAAAACAAATATGTGAACTTGTTTTTAAATGTTTGTTTGATGAACAATTTGAAGTTCGTACAGTTGCATCAGTTACATTATCAGGATTTTATCAATGTGGATTTATTCAAGTCAATGAAGAAGATTTTGTAAATATTTATTAATCTATTTTAAAAACCAAATCTTGTTGAACTTTTTTTGTTTTTTAGAAATATTTTAGTCAAATGAGTAAAATAAATTATTTTATTAAGAAAAATGGAAAAAAAATTATAACAACAGAAAATATTATTAAACGACATGGAGGTTAGTTAATTAATGGCATTTAAATTAATCATTTAATTTATTATTAGGTGTACTTGGTCTTTGTGCAATTGTTCTTTCAAGTCCATATGATATTCCAAATTATGTTCCTGATGCATTAATGCTTCTATGTGAACATTCACATGATCCTGATCTTATTCAAGTTAGTCATTTAAAAAGGTTTAATTTATTTTCATTTTGTTAAATAATTATATAGAAATCAATTAAAAAAGCATTATCAGAATTTCGTCGTACTCATCATGATTCATGGCATGAACATCGAGAAAAATTTACGGAAGATCAACTTGTTATCTTGGCCGATGTATTGATATCACCTAATTACTACGCATAAGTAGTTATAGAATTTGTGGAATGTTATGTGTGAACCTGAGTGAAATTTTTCTTAATCATATGAAGGTCTTCTTTAATAATGGTGTGCTTGTTTTTCTGTATTCACTTCTATGCTGTTATCTTATATTAATAAAAATTGTCATGAAATAGATATGACGCTTGTTATCACTTAAAGCTTGCGAAAATTAATAGTGAAGGTATCTTGCTTCTTTATAAAAAAAGAAAAAGCTTTAAAAAAACTTTCACTCTATATGGTCTAATAATAAAAACAATGCTCGACATTTTTGTGACATTTGATCATTCTTCAACTAATATTATAATCAAATTGCCATTTTTCTTTGTTCTTCTTTTGTCTGGTCTCCTCGAATACCTAGCCGTTTATACACATTTCAGTTTAAAAAAAAATGGAAATGGTAAGACAAAAAAGAACTACAGAAGCAAGTTTATGAATTCTTTGAATAAAGACGAGTATGAAAAAGCATTCAATAAATGAATGCAATTGAATGTGAATAATCAGAAGAATTATTTCAAACATTGAATGAAATAAACACCTGATAAACTTATTTTTATACTTTGTTTTAGTTCTATCACAACTACTTTTTCTATACTCTGTCATGTTTAGACGACTTGACAAAGAGATCACGAATAAGAGAATACGCCTCGAAGATAAAATGTGATTTAATCTATTGTCACATATCATAACAGATAGCTCTTATAGAAATTTTATTATAATATTAATTGAAAAGTGATTAAAAATCAACGACATGTTAAGAATTGTTTTTTTTACTATCAGATCGTATAGAGAGCAAGTTTCTTTAAGTTATTTTTATAAGGAATTAAAATATTTCTGCCACAACTTCTTTGCATGCCATACATATTATAGCGTGTACTTTTATTTCTTTAGTAAAAATTACTAGTTGAAGAAAAGTTTATTGATTAATGATAATCTTTTTCTATATAGTTATAGATTAAATAAAAGAATCTTTTTTTGAAGATAGATATTCATTGTTCAATTTATATGTATATATTTATTTACACTTGAATTTGTTTTGTTGAATTAATATCTAGTTTAGAAAGAGATACACGAATACCAGAAAATATCTGTCCCATTGAACGATGTAATGGTGCAATAAGAGCATCACTAATTGTTTGAATATAAAGTCCAGATTCAGCAATAAATGATTGACATAATCGACGAATAGGTACAGCAAGCCATATCATTATGAATGTATAAATACCAAATAGAAGACCCCAAAAAAACATTAATGGTAAACCAACAAGAATCGTTAGAAAACGATAAATAAAAATTTTACTGTAATGATAAACTTGTTGTAAAAGTTTATGAAGTACTTCAAAATTATAAGCACTTGCATCAGGTTCAGCAATGACATTAAAAAAATCAAGCTAATATAAGAAAAAGAACAATTATAAAAAAAAATATTAGTTTGTTTTTAGTTTTGTACCTGAAGATGTTTATTAATTCGCATTGGATCCCGATTATCTGGATCCAATAATGATGCTGGATGAATTTCATCTTGAAGCAAATAAGTTTCAGACATTGTTGTATTACTAATTGTTTAGGTCAGTTTTAGTTCTGCTTATATAGGTGAGTATGACAATGCTAATTCATATTTGTTTATTAACGTTGAAAAAAGATAATAGGCTGATATGATGAGAGTAGATGACATCATTTAACTTACATTGCACAAAAACGAATTGCTATTGTGAAATACTATTCCGTTAGTGTTTTTTTAATGTACTACCAGGTGAAAGACAGAAAAATAAAGGAACTTTGATTCATACATATAATAAAACCTCTCTATAGTGGATCCTACTCGGACTTTTCAAAAGTAACTACTATAGAGAAGTTATGTGTCTTCTGAAAATAAAGTTTTCCTCGAAGAAATAGATACGTTTCGAAGCATCTGGAGTATGAGTGAATAATCTAATTGGATAGAGCATGTGATTATTTTTCTTTTTAGAAAAAAGAAAAACCAATAAAAGATTGTCAAAAGAATCTGTGATAGAACTTTGTTTCATTACTTTTGAATCCAGATAAATGTCAGTTAATTGTGATTCAAGATAAGAGATGAGAACAAGTAGCTGAGGCTATTGAGTAGACGCAAAAAGATGAAGTTGAGAAATTATAACTATTTTGATTGCTTTTAATTAATGCAATCTCTTACTCTAGAGTCAACGTTCGTCGATTCGACATTATGCTTTCTTTCTCTTTATCATGTTAGTAAAATGATATATATGTTTTAATGCAATTATATATATAATCATCCATCTCTCTTATTTAACGCAAAGAATGTTCTTTTTTTTTTGTTATTTCATCGTTCGATACGAAAGATTTTACTGTAATTATAATATGTAAGCAATTAAAATTGAAATCAATTGATATGATTGTATGATTAAAGACCATAAGAAAACAATAAAATGTTATATGTATATATAAATACAAAAAAGACATCTTTTGTATTCTGTAAGATAGGATCGACCTATAGTTAATACTTCCTGCTTATACATATTTCTTCCTGTTATTCTGTAATTACACAAGATCAATCTATTTTCAAGATAATAACAACTTCCTAAATATTCATAAATGGTGGTCCGAAGGTAGCGGATTATCCACAGGTCTTCCTAAAAGAAAATAAATACACTCCGTTACCATCCTATGACCATCACTTTTTATGATGGTTCTTTTTTAAATCTTATTTTTGAATTATCATTCGTAACTCTTCGAATAGCCACGATCCAGTTTTTTCCCTATCGGAACAAACTCATGTCTTTTCTGTCAAACGAAGCATATAATCTTCTGCTCAAAATAAACTGACAAATCTTATTTTATTAATGACTTGTTCACACTATTGCCATTTCGACTTCTATTTACACCATCACTACATGTCTTGTTATTTAGATATTCTAAAAGTTCCAATCACAACTATTAAGACTTCATTGAAGAAATTGTAACTGTATCTCATGCACTCTTGTGTATTGATAACAAAAATTTCTTCTTCTTGTTGCTTTCTTTTGATTTGCATGGAATAAATTTGGCCGAAAGAAAACAACAAAACGAAAAAAAAAATGTCGACAAAAGTTTTTTTTCAGATTTTTCATTAACAAGGTAAAGACATTTTATTGCATGCAAAAATGTGAGGAACATATGAATGCACCAACAATTTACACCTATCCCTACATCCACACTAACACTCCATATACATACCCTAATCATTTTTATACGGTCACTCATTTTCTTTTGTCTAATTGATACATACCTTTGGTTTTTCTCGTTGTTTATTAACATCAATATTGATAAAATGAAATGATTAGGACTTTATAACTTTTTTATTCTTGATTTCAGCAGAAAATGTTTCAAACAGAAGAAAAAATCCTACAGATTTCTGTTGATTTTGAAAATATTGATATTAAAAAAAAAACAGAGAATCAAAATAACAATATTCTGACGAAATAATGGATGAAGTTAGCTATTTCATTTATGTTGCATAGAGGGATATATGAATACAAAAAAGACATCTTTTGTGTTCTGTAAGATAGGATCGATCTATAGTTGATACTTCCTGCTTATACGTATTCCTTCCGGTTATCCTATGTAATTACACAAGATCAATCTATTTTCAAGATAAGAACAACTTCCTAGGTATTCACAAACGATGGTCCGAAGGTAGCGGATTATCATTTGGAAATCCAATAAAATTAAAATAGCACTCCGTTGCCATCCTATGACCATCACTTTTTTTTTTTTTTTATTATGTTTTGTTTTTATTTTTGTAAATCTTATTCTTGAATATCAAATAGATCAATAATTAAAAATCGAAGTAAATTGATCTGTTAAATAAAGTCATTTCTTTTACCTTCACTTGACGTAGTGCACAAAAAAAACGTCGTATCCAATTTCAAAGTCTATATAAATATGCTTACTAAGGTAGCTTTTGCTGATCAATATTATTGCTTTCATTTTCTTTTGTTTGCAGCATGAATCTATCATCATTATGGCAAATTTTATATATAATTTTCATTTACCAATTGAGTATTGGATTAACTCTAACAAGTTCTTCATTTGGAACTAATTTTACGAATTGGTCTGAAGATGATTGGCTTGAAACACGATTTTTAATGAGTACAAAATTTTTATTTAATCAACAACGTTATGAACATATTATTCTTCGTACTCGAATGAATGAATGGTCTGTAGAATTATCTTACGGTAATAAAAGTAATCTAAATAAATTATGGACTGAATTACATTTATTTCTTGATCATCGTCATCATAGTACTAGTCTAAATAATTCAATATCTGGTCATATTAGACATATATGTCGTCCACCAGTTATTTCACCAATAACAAATGATTCAAATACACGTGTACCTGAATTATCTGACATCGACAGACGTATTGCAGAATATTTTTTAAATGATGGTTTTTTTCGAACAATTAATTATATACATTGTACATTTGATGAACAACGCAGAAATCCATCAGTACATATTCAAATTGATATTTATTTAGTTACAAATCGTGAATTTCAAAGTTTACTTTATATTGAAATGTCGAATATAACTCGAAGCTTACTTTTTGATCATCAAGCAAGATTTTATTTACATAATTATCAACAAAATTTTAAACATAATTTTAATATATCAAATATTGATAATCCATCTGATTCAAATACATCACCTCGTTATATGATTAAATTATATAAGCAGATTAATCGTGTATCTAGTAATACGATAATAATATCTTCGAATGTGATAATTATTTTATTTAATTGTTTACTTTTGTCGATATTTTTCTAATTCATATTAATGAAAATAAAACTAAACGATGGAATATAATTCGATTTTTTTCAAAAGTTACGTTTTTTAAATCTCGTCTATTTGAAGTTTATTTTGTTTTGGGGTGATCCAGACAAGGACTAGTGTCCTGTACAGATACGATTTTAAAACTTTTATTTTATATGAAAAAGTATATCAGCTATTTAGTTTTGTTGTATAAATAGCTACAGAAAAAGACGAGATCATCTCAAATTCCACAAGAAAAACTAGTGATTCGGCATTCACTTAACATCTTTCTGCTTTTAAAATCCGATCAACTTCATTAAGTATACGTTTTGATTTTCATCCTCATATATTCTTTGGGCCAGGTACCGACTCGGTTGCAGGACACTAACAAGAACATCAAAAGAGTTCATTTAACTACCGTTAGTATTACGAAAATCATATGAAATCGGTTGGATTTGAAAAAAAAATACAAACCGATTTCATTTCCGACAATTATTAGAAAGTATTCAGATATTTTGAGTGTATAGTTGAAGCAAAGAGATCCAACATGTCTGCTTCATATAGAATCGTATGCATGGTGTCGAAAGTAACAACTCCGATAAGAAAACATATAATATAGAGGGTGAGTGGCTGTTCCCTTCTTTCGTTAACACATCCATTCAACACACCCTCTTTGCATTGGATGAAATGGCAGTAGACAGATTGATGCAATAATATATTGCTGTTTTGGAAAAATTTAGCATTCATCGAAGCCAATTTATCGATTATATTCATTTGCTAAGCAAATCGGTGTAAAATACGATCTTCATCAGATTGATATTCTCAGTTTGGAAATTTATTTTATTTAATTGATGATGAATGAAACTGTTTTGCTTGTCTAGAAAGTTCAATATAAATCAATTCAATTTTACTACTGAGAAACTTTCAAGAATTTACAAAGCGTAAGTTTGCAAAATTAACAGAAGAGTGAACTTCATTTTTCCATCTTTGGTATGTTCGAAGAAGGGCTGCATCCAAAATAAATAATGGTCTCCTAGGTTTTTTTTACATTTGTTCTCTAGGTCGTAGGATGTAAAGATTGGACATTCTTAATTATAGTTTTTGTGACAGGAAACCGAAAATAATTGACTTTAGCAATTTTTTAGATTCCGAGCGTCATCTTATTTGAGATTGAACAATCATTTTCGACTGAACCAGTTCAGTTTTCGACATAAGTTAGCAAGCATGTTCCATTGAAGAGTTTATAAGCAAACATGATTGGAATTTACAATAACGTTGACTTGGTCGCTTTGTTAAATGTCAAAATTTCAGCCTAGATGTGGACGTATAAGAAAAGGTGAACAAAAGACCGTTGTTTAAAGTCTCATCCGCACGTAAAACAGTTATGATCAATTGCTTATTCTATGTAAAACAAACATCGCATGATTGTTAACATATTTATGTAATAAAAGTCGCTAGCATCAGAAATAAGTTATTTCACAAAAAACAATACGAAGATATAAGTTAATATTTTTACTTTGTTTTGTTTTAAAAATATTTTAGTAGAAGTTTATTAAAAACAAAGAATCGAAGATATAGATAAATTTTCATTTTGTTTCTTTTTTTCGAAATATGTTCAATCATGACCAAAACAAATACCGAAACAAGCAAATAAATAGAGAACAACGTAGAGGCCACAGACAACTAGCATACCAACCGCACAACCTAATTGTGCTTTTAGAAAAGCCAGTTTACTCGTTGGAGGAAAAGCGAAACAAGAATCAGTCACAGTTTGTACTCCATTTAAAGAAATCGGCACGCAGTCTTTCACAACGTTACCATAGTTCGACGTGAAACTACTGAAACCATGTAGACTGCAACATAAGTTATCACCTAAATAGCATTTACAAAGATTGCCCATAAAGTATGCATCAAAGTAAATAATTACACAAGCCAATACTCCACTGAATACTAAAAATAAATTAAATGAAATCATAATAAGTATGCAGACAAAATAATATTCACATACTATTTAGAATTAGAATATAAGTAGCACAACATCGACCTCGACAACAACAAGCTATATGAATACAAGTGAATAGCAATATCATGAAAATGAAAATTTGCAAAGTACATACTAATACAAAACATCATCAAAAATGTTTTAATAAAGACAAGACTGGCCCAAAAGCCAGCCCAAATGGTACCATGTGCGACATCATAATAAATAGAACCAAATTCAAAACCAATAATAGCTGCAGTTAGAACAATTTGAGCTATAGCTAAAATTGCTGTAATCCATCTTGGAAATCGTTTTTCAAAAGCCATAATCTTCTTTTTTAATACAAAAAAAACCTTTGCAGAATCTTAAAAAGGCAATGAGCTGAAATGAAAATAAACGTGTAGCACACTTTTACATTAACAAAAAAGTATAAAAGAGAGAAGAAGAGAACAAAATACAAAAGTATGTATATACTGTTATCGAGTGAGTGACACGGAGACGCACTGTAAAAGAATATTAATAAAGAGACGTCGTCTTTCGATGTATAATCATAAAATACATAACAAGTGAGTTTTATCATGCACACTCTCTACGATTGACGTCATTGAAAAGAAAATTACTAAGAGTATTGTTCTACAGCGCCGATAGAGTACAGATCGTTTTGAATGTTTCAAGAGAAGACTTACATGTAGACCTACCTTAGGCAAAATTTGTTCTCGTGTTGTTGCACATGCACTCCTTCCACTATTATGTCTCCGAAAGTCAAATAAATGATGCGCTGAACTCAAGAAAATTTTGCAAATGCTAATAGTTGCAATGATCGATTCTATTTTGGTAAAAAGAAAAGGAGTCGTAACTTTTCTCCAGATGTGCTCTCAATTGTATTGTCATAAGTACCTGCTCGATAGACTGTTTTTGAAAATGGCACGAATGAACCAGTTGAATCATATATTGGATCGAATAACATAAATTCGAACGCGTATCGCTATGTGAAACAATCAATTCGACAAATAGATAACAGTTCGAACAACATACAAATCATTTTCGTCTTGTTTTTTTCTTTTGTATCACTCTGCTTTCTACAGTAATAAAAGCTTCATGATGATAACGCGAAAGAACTTTTAAGACTGTACACATAGTAATTTTTTCTATTTGTGTCTATCTTGATTATAGCATAGACAAAATAGTAACGAATAAATATTCGCTTCACAGAGTACTCAAGCAACTTACCTTGGATAACAACAATGTTATTAGTTCTCATTTCTCCACATTATCAGCATAAGAGAATACAAAATACGCCTTGGCTTATATGCAAAATACTACTTCGTTTCTTTCTTTTATTTTTGTGACATCTGACCAAATCCATTCATTTTGTTGACACGATCAACTCGTATGCAATATTACCTTTTGGTAAATATGTAGATGAAAGTGAGATTTGAATCAAAGAGTCGTATTTCACTCAGGCAACGATTTGATGTTGTTGCTCTTTATTAATAACCAATAAAACTAATCGGCAACAAACAAATCCGCAGCAATGGCAGCAACAGTATTTATACAAGGAGATAACAATCTGAAAACGTTCTCTCTCATGTAACTGATAGACATTTCGATTCATAGAAGTAAATATATGATTAACATTAAAAAACAACTTCACGCATCAATCAATGATATAAATATTTGACAATGGTCATCAATATAAGCAACACATGCTATCAATATCCAAGTACTAAACGAACGAACTTGAAAATTAGTGCCACTGATTTATCAATTGTGAGATATTACCTCCGTCTTTATTAGCGGCATGGACATGAATTGCTTTAAAGAATGTTTAGTTTTACGAAAAATGCTTGTGTTTAGAATTATCAAACGATAATATTACAGCCTATGATTATAAGACGAAAGTTAAGCAGTGTGTAGGTGTGGATCGGTGTCGAAGAACAAGAGATCTACATACCCATCCACATCCTTCTGCCTTCTTTGTCGCACAATCGTGGAAGCTCTATGTCAAATATTTTCATTGCAAATATTCAAAATGGATCTTTGAATGACAAAAATCAATTGTGAATTTCATTCATGTAGTGGCATCCTGATTGAATGAGTAAAAAAACTATAGCTTTCTCATTCATGATAGAGATATTCAACATTTCACTTTCCGACTTTATCATTTTTAGATTTCGAGATCTATTTCAAACAGAAAAAAAGAGTTTTATATTAAAAAAAGTTCTCAAGTGTTTTGAAAATTTATATCAAAATGGTTCATGATTGTTTTTACTCAACGACTGAAGTTTTTCATAAGTCCATACGATATATTCGATCATACGTTGAATTTATTACATTTGAAAAAAATTACTAGTAAATTCGTTCTAAGAGAAAGATGAATGATTCGTTGAAACAGCAAAGTATTTTGAGACTAAACAATCATGATGTTTTGAAGTTATAATCTATTTATCAATGTAGATAGGTAAATATGTTTTCTTCGATCAAAGTTATATTTGTCGTTTAAGATAGGAAGACGTATATAACGTTGCATTATATTAATCCGAAAAAAACGTTCTTCAGATTATATGATTCATTCGATTAAAAAAATATATATATATGCTATTTAAGAACATTTGTCACTGCAACAAGATCGCTTTTTTTTGTTTCGACCAACGAAATATATGCAACGCATTCTCGTCTGTCTGTTGATCGTTGCTACGATCGATGTTAGTGCTAATGAACTTAAAACTATGAATGGTACGTAGGCAATGCAAATTTGCATAACGGAACATTTTGTATCGCTTACTTTACCTTTCTGATAGTACAACTGATACAATATACACTGCTTCAAAACTTTGAATTCATAGTAGGCATATACATTGAACTCAAACTGTTTGATTCGACTTCTTTTCTCGCCAAGTTTTCACTGCGAATGTCCAACTATATTCTTGCCTTAATCTTTGTTCATTAGAAAAAACGAGATTGCAACTAGTACTTGGCCAAACTTCTATTTACTTTTTCAATTGTGTAAAAGCATTACAAAAAAATCATAATATATTCACTTTTAAATTCTCATCGTGAAAGATTAATTATGAAACTGATTAAGAATTATATCAATAATTGTTCTTTGATTTTCTAATTGTCATTTTTCAACAAGATATTTGTTAGAGCATTTGATTTGTTGCTTCGGTTTAACATTTTTTCGATATTACGATTTATAAATCAATGGATAGAAGAAGGAAGTTTGCGTTTTAAAATGTCACACTTTTCAATATTCATATCGGGTTAGAGTAAGATAAGAAGAAAATGACATGTACGCAATAAGCAGGGTACTCGGGTAAAATATCTTTGGACGACGTCTTTATACTGGAATTGGAAAGTCAATGTTCAATGTATTCTCAAGGAAATCATACTGATTTGTTATGAAAATTTGATAACTTGAAAGCGAAAATGTCTAGAAGACGAGCTCATGCTACAACTTTTCATTGATAAATGAACAATTTATTTCAATTGAAATCTATTCTCAATACTGAAGAAGTTTGATATTTCGATACTAAATGAATACGATCAATATCTTCTCAGTCCTTAATGTTTCACCTAACATTTTAAGCAATCATTTGATTTTGTTAGTGATGCAATTTATTATTCTTCAGGGATAAATGTAAGAGAATAAACACTATGGATCAGTCACAGTCATCTGTCTTTTTTTTCATATTGGTAATTTGTCCAGTCGATTTCAAACAAGTCTACAGGAGCCAGTTTCTCCACATAAGGCAATATATGTTCTTTCATCATCTCTGGTGCCTTGACTCTTTTCATCTCTTCTTTCAATTTTTCCACTGTAGCCATCAGTGTTGTTACGTCTTTCGTCAACGAAAGTTGTTGGTTATCGATGATGCTCTTGAATTTCGTTACTTGACTCAAAATTTCTTCGCGTAATTGTTCGATCTTCGTTTTGAGTGTGTCTGCAAGGTCATGAATCATCTGTTCAAGTTCTTCTCGTTGTTTATCAACTTTTTCCTTGAGTTCTTCAATTTTACTGTTGCATGAAGTAATACTAACTTGCATCTTTTCCATTCTTGTATCAAACTCTTTGAGAGAGTTACCAAATTCGATCAGTTTATTTTGCATTGTTTTCAACTCATTATGATTATTTCCGGATTCTAAAATAGTTGATTCTAGTGGAATATGGGTAAGTTTTGGTGCACTTTCGAGTGCTTGCAAGCGATTTTTGAACTGTTGAGTTTCAGCTGCATGGATTGCTTGAAGTCTTTCTATTTCTGAACGAAGAGCAGCGATTTCATTAGTGTTGTCCACAACAACCGAATTAACAACTATTTCTTCACTGTTATTCCCTTTGTCGACACCTTGACGTGGAAGTGGAGCAGAAGGTATACGTTTGCCCTTCGGAGGCTTTGCCTTTAGATTCATGTCAGAAATAATAGACGGAATTTTTACTGAAGGCACATTTGGCATTTTAGATAAGTTCTCTCGAATCAGTTCCTAAATATAAAAGATTTCTAAGTAATCAAAGTCCAAGTTATCGACTTTTCTCATGCGGAGTCCGAAATATAACAATGTGCTCCATTTCCTTAACTAAGAGAGTTTTGAAAGATAAAATGGTGAAAAAAGTGACTGATAAGATTTATTAAATGTGTTGTATATAAATCGAATGATGCTGCTGCAAAACATTCTCTTTTGAAGCTCTCTCTTGATGCTTCTCGAGAAATATAATATTTCTATTTCTCCTCATCAGGAGTGAAAAAGTCAAATAATTTCTTTGATATCCCAAAACCTTAACTCTCCACAGGTCTGGAAAGAATTGTTGAGCGAATAAGTGACAGATTTGTCTTAAGACATAAATTCAATAAAAACTCGAATGATACAAGATTCAGACGGTCACATCTGATTCTATTTATGAATCATTTTTAGAAAATCCCTATCTAATCTATCTTGACAGAATACAACGCTGCTTAAGATTATAATACAAACAGTTTTTTTTCATTCTAATTTTTTAATTTTCTTTTAATTTTCCTGCTTTTTTATTGAATTAATTTATCTGTCTGCAATACCTCAATTATCTTGCGAGCTGTAATTCGGTGAGTCGAAGTAAACAGGAAACATTTCGGGTTTTTTCGTAACTCATGATTTGAAAGCTTTAGTCATGTTACTAAACTTTTGATCAAAAGCAACGTGTTTCCGATGAAAGCTTCGAGTAAATATTTTTCATCGGTAGTTTTATTTGTATATACCCATGTCATGAAAGTCGCCGCGGTTTTCGTGATATGGGTAGGCTTCACAATTCCTGCAATTTCCTAGATTCCGAACAATGATTAAAGTGTCTTATGAAACATGACTGTAAATGTGCGTTGAAGTATATTGCGAGAAAAATGAAATTCACCACCAGTCTGGCACATATCAACAAACTTGTCTTTATAAATAAGAGGAGCAGAGGTTCTTAATTATTTCAACTTCTTTTTTTCACTTCAAAGTTTTCGTAAGTTTTGTAGGCTCTGCAACTACTGCCTCATGAAGTCTATATAAACATAAAACGTTCGTTCAGAATTCTTTAATTTGAGTCTTCTGTTAAAATACTTGACTATAAATAGAAGTTTTTTAAAATGATCATAGTTTATGATCCATGAATAATGTGCCTACAATTTTTTCAGTTTTATTAACATACTTTTTTCAATTCTCTGTCGACAAACAAACCGTATTTACGTTCGAGCCGCTTCTCGTATGCCTATAGAACAGGTAAAATCATAATAGTGTGTTTTCAGTCAACAGTGTTTGACGTACTTCAATACGTTGGATACGATTTGAATACATTTTGTCCCATTGTTCGAGTTGATTTCGAAATTCAGCTTGTCTTGTCTGATCAATTTCTTGAATACTATACTCTCAGAAACAAACACCATAACTTTCTATAAAGCGTTAAAAACTCTCGCTGACCTATAGACAATTTCTCGAATGAATTGCTGCCGAAACCGTTTAAATTTTTCTCGTTCTGAGTTCCAAATTTTGTGCTCATCACGATATAGGGAAGGTTGTTCAGGTTGTTTGTTGCTGGCCGATGTAGAAATCTGTATTTCAAGTAATGCATGTGATGTCATGAGCGAGAAAGAAAAAGACGAACCAGTCCGTGGTGACGCATATGTTTTCGAACGTGTTTGTCGGTAAAATGATCTTCGATTGGATTTCTTTCCATGATGTTTCGATAAGGTTCGATTGGCCTACAAGCAGTATCGGAACAAAGGTTTTGCAAAACAAAGGCGAAAACTTACGAAGGTGGCGGAGATCGATGTCGAGATGCACTATGTCTTTCATTCATGACTGTTTTTTATCTAAAATTTATTTTTCAAGCATTAAAATGAGCATCTAAAAGCTTAAATATTATGAAAATTATCCTTCAGAACAACAATTAAAACAAGATATGCAAGTTCGTTCAACCGAAGAAGAGGATCCGTTTTTGAGAAGTTCGATTTCCTTGGCACTACCCAATCGATATCCATAAAAGTTGGCTTTCATATACGGCATATCAGACCATTCCTCATAGTTCACTTGAGTTTCATTTTGTATCGTAGTTCGAGGAATATTTGAAGGTGAATATTGACTGATATCATGCTCGTCTTCTTCTTTCTTATAGTCCAGTTCTTTTGAAGCTGCCTTCTTTTCGTTTCCACTAACAGAAACATTCGGCTGCTGTTGCTGCTTTTCCTCATTTCGAAGGTCTCCATTCGAATGATAGCGAATGCCAGGAGCTCGAAAAAACTCGTAGAGTAAAAAGCGTTCGGTTACAACAGGTAGTACAGGAGTAGAATCAGAAGGTAATTCGGCAGATTCAGATACGTTTTGTGTAGTAGCCATGGTGGATGTGATATCCTGTTTAACATTGAATCATGTTCAATTTTGTTTTTTGATTAAAAATCTGTTGAAAACTTTTACAACTCGAGCTGTTCGAATTCGTAGAAGATAAGCTGTTAACTATAGACTATAGAGGAATGAATATATATATGTGTATTGCTTGCGAAAATCATATAGACGAGCTTAGGGTTAGATCGGTAACATTGTCATACGTATTAAGTCCTCATGTTATTAGTAGTTAAATAGTTTTTTGCTTTTGGTTTCATATATACTAACAGGGAGATTGCTTTAGGGACTTGCAGCTTTCTACAGTACATCAGCAAGAAAATGGAACGATAATAGAAAAGACTCGAATACGTTCTTTGCTCATATACATCATTATAGCAGAAAGCTCAACTATTTATATTTGTTGTGAACAAGAGATTATATGCTATGTTAGGATTGCTGTTGTGCAAAGAGTTGCGTTTACTTAAGAACTGAGGATACTAAATTCAAGTATGAGAGCAGAGTTTTGTTGTTCTAACAATCGAGATAATCCTGTCACTTCATCATCTAATGTTTTTCGTATATGTGCACAACATTGGAAAGCTATAGTAATATCTGTGATGGTGTTCAAATTTATTAAAGAAGATTTTTACCTGATTATTATTTACTTGAAAAACCTGTTGTTGTTGCTGTAACGATTGTTGTTCAACGTTCGGCTTTGGGGCGAGTGGTAAACTCAGATTTGGATCGGTATAAAGACATTTTAGAATAGCTATTTTGGGTCCACGAGCACGAGAGACAAGACATGTCAACATGTGCACCAGCGAATCTTTGTTGTCTACCTTTGGTAGTTCAAGCACTTTGATACTTTCATCAGCGACAGCTGAAACGATGTAGCTAACGGCGAACGAAGCTACTCGCTCTGTAGGTCGCATACGATTGAGAGATTTGTTGCATGGTATTATGCCCTTGCAACATGAACAGCAATCCTCTTGGACATGCTCGTTTGAATGATGGAGTCGAATCAATTGTTCCTTGTATCGATCAGCCAACTGTCGGGCCACTCGACGAGACACTTCGCACTGTTCAATTACGTCACCACAATTGCTAATTACTCCCAGTTTGTCTTTTATAAGCTGATGATCCAGATCGTCAAGCTGTTGGGCAACTTGATCGACTGTTGCTTCAAGTACAGAACCAATATAGGGTATATTATTGGCCCCTTTGGACAATAGTGATATGACTGATGCAGCCCTAAAGTCAATCAGAAATCTTGTAAGTAAAAAGCATATGACTTTCATTTTCTGTTTTATCCTTTATGAAACTGAGCATAATGATTTTCGTTAATTTTTGATACTAGCAAAGTCTTTGAAAGAGTCTTTATAAGATGAATTTTAATGCTCACGTTTATTACAAAATAATGAGAAAGTTTTATAACATCAGGGTTCATCGTATCTGTAGAGCAGAGATTTCATTTGTTACTAATCATTCAATGTAATATGTTCATGCTAAGAGTTCAAAGAACTTTAGAAAGCATGCAAAAGTGTACACACATATTCAAAGAGCAACGAATGGATGTGAGCGTGAAGTTTGAGGCGTTAGTATTTGTGCGCGTGATCGTTCTTTTTATTCACACTTACATCTACATCCACTCTCTGTAGTGCAGTTGCTCACTTTTTTCATATTGATGTCTGAATAGATAGATAAACACCTCAGTACAAAAACTACGTAGCATGAGTCACATTTACCTGTTTTTAGCTGGCATTCCCCTTGATGAGACTATTCTCTTCTGACAGAATTCAGTATAAAGAATTCAGTGCCGATTTCAGTTCGAGTCTTATATGGCTTTGGAATTTCTCGTATCTCTAATGATCATTCGCCTCTCAGCAAATATAACAATGTTCTTTTTTGCCTCTCGTAGATATGCGTATGTTGTCATAAACTTAACTCAAGAAATATCTTTTTTTGGCCATGTAGACCGACAAATAAGATTAGTACTCACTTGTGATAGGAGCCTTTCAGGTTATGCGACAAGATTTCTTCGTCACATCCAGCAAGAGCAAACGCCGCAAGAATATTCGATAATTGAATACGGAATTTTCGATAGAACAATAAACGATTATTGTTTTCATCGCCTTGGAAACTTCTTTCGTCCTTAGCTATCCCACGCCAATCAGCATCCAATTGTTTTATTTCATTCATTTTTTTCTCCGATGGAGCAACACCCATATCATTCCAGTAACTGTCTTTCTTGATCATTTTGACGAATGATTTCCACATTTGCATGGAGTCAGGAGAATCAATTAACATTTTAAAGAGGTTTTCAAGTGCATCATGTGCTGGCAGATAATCTTTTTCTTTTCTCTGGCATAAAGCCAAGAGTGCGTGGGCTTCCGGGCAGAGTTGTTCGACATCGGTTTCAATAGCCATTCTATATTCTTTCACTGCCTCATTGTACGCCTCATAATTTCGTTCGACTACTTTCTTCAGTTTGCCCATTTCCTCATGAACTGATGTTGTTTCCTTTTGAAACTGATGTAGCGCCTCCTGGACCCAACCCATCTTCAAGCGTCTGATAGCTGATTCACCCTGCTGAAGTACTTCAGCTTTTAACTGGCGTAGGCGATCTTGAAGGATGATCACCGTGGCCGAAACTGATCGTCCTAATTGCATGGCACGACGACGATCATACATGGCTTCGTCGAGTCTACCTAGCTTTTCAAAGATGCTTGCTCGCTCATACAGAATATCGACACTGTTAGGCGCATATTTGCATGCTGTAGTCAAAGTCTGTATGGCTTCTTTGTAATTTCTGTCTGCTGCCTGCATCATCCCAAGGCGAAAGACATTTCGGGCATGTTTTGGGTCACATTTCTGAGCTTGCTCGAACAGGTTTTGGGCAGCATCTTTCTGTCCAAGTTGATACTGGCAAAGGCCTTGTCGAAATAGACATTCTGCCTTTTGAGAATCATTTGTAGTACTAGAAAACGCTTGTTTAAAATTCTCTAAGGCTTTCATATTGTTTCCTTGTTCACTAAGAAGAAGAGCATGATAGTAGTTTTCATCGTATTTAGCATTTTTGGACTCAGTTGTCATTTTTTTTCCAATATCCTCGGATGGTGGGATTTGACATCTAACCTGCTCATCTTCTTCCTTGGATTTATCGTCTTTGTCATTGTCATTCTCACTATCTTGTTCGGTGTCTTCGACATCTTCATCATCGTCCAACTCGTTTTGTCTCTCCTTCAAAGTAATACGCACTCGCTCTAGGCAATAATTATAATAGGGATTATTTGGATGCTGTGCCCATTTCTTGCCCTCTTCGATATCGGCTAGTGCTTTGTGCAGAAGTTGCATCGATTCATAGACGAGACCACGACTAATGTAGCCTTTAGATAAAAAGTCCTTATAATCCTGTTCTTTAGAACACCTAGCACGATTGATAAGTTCTGAATAGTCACTTAAAGCCTGATCATATTCGCCAAGTACGTGATGCACCCAAGCTCGTTTGTAATAGATTCGGAGTTTTGAAACTGATGGTTTTTCATTAGAATTATCGTAGAGACTAAGAGCTTTGGAGAAGTCATCAATAGCTTGTTGATTATGCTTGGGACCACCCACTTTCAAGTGAGCATTACCGCGAAGATAGAGTGCATCAACAGCAGGAGGATTGATTTCGGAAAATTTTTTGATGGCATTTAAGAAGGCGTTCGGAGTGCCATCCTTGGCTAAAGCGCAGCCTTCTTTTACAAGCTCAGCTGTTGTTTTGGACGTCTAGAAACAAAAGGATATAGTAATTATTCGAATATTTGTTCAGAATAAGTCTCGAAAGCACAAGTCAAATTTAAGACAAATAAAAATTGCATTTTCAGATGACTATTATTTGATGCATTGAACATGTTTACCTGTGTCTTTTAACGAAGAGAATTTCTACTTCACTCTCATATAATATCGAAAAATAAAAGAATGTACTTATTAACCGCAGAAACAACCAGCATTATTCTAAAATATCTACTCAGGCTACTTGAATACAACATGATTATAATTGTAATGGTTTTTAGCAGTTACTGCAACTCATCTATCACTTTTCCAACAATCTGCTTTTTCAAAGAACACTACTGCCATTCATTTTTGAGTTATTTTACACATTTATTCGTCGCTGAGTGACTAGCAGATTGATAAGTGGTGTAATTAGGAAAAGACTAGAAATCGAAGGATGAAAGGGTGAGGCTCCCAGCTCCCTTTGGTTATTACATTGCAACAGATCTCTCAAACTTCTATTTTTCACTTCAAGGTCGTCCCATTGATAAGTGTTATGTTTGCTTTATTTTAGTCGAGTAACTACAGTAAAATAACTGATAGACTCCTTACTTTAAAAGTAACTGCTAAAGAGGCGTTACACATAAGCTATGACCTACGTTGCTCAATCAATTTGACGAATTGGATTGACATTTTTAGAGTAGATAGATATATTTGAATTAGGAATAAACTAAATGATTCAGCTCAAATAGATTATTCATTCTGGAAATATATATTCTGCAAGTATTAGTACTCTGTTAAACTTGGAGTACCGTGAAATGCAATACTTCGCAGTAAATTTTCATTTTCTAAAGAATGATAAGAGTTCTGAGAGAAACATTTTTCTTTACTATTGATACTATCAATAATAAGCATGATCCTATGATCAGACGAGTTGGTCGGATCTGTAAGATAGAATATTCTGAGAGTAGTTCCATTTGAAAGAGCACACCAAAACATATGGAATACCGTTTTCAAAAGTTTGGCAGGTTGAACTTTGATAAAGTTTTTTAAACAATATAAAGAAAACAATTTTGTCATATCATTCTAAATATGGCAATAAACAATTTATTCTCAAATATTTAATTTATATAATTAAAGTGAAAGTTCATGCCTAGAAACGTCCGAATCCAAACCTTCAGTAAGTTCAGTGATACGTATGAAAAATGACGCAAGATTTACTTTTTCAAATTTTATTAGATGATATTCACTCCGCGTAATTGTTCCACATGTTTTTCAAAAGAATGCTCCTTAGTAAAAAATGGCTTTCCGGTGAAAACTGTGAATACTATTAAGAGCTCTTGTTTCTAATTTGTTTGTATTGAAGCGTGAACTCTTTAAGTTTCGCTTTTAGGGCACTGCAGTAGTCCATCTCAATTAATTAAACAAATTGAATTTTGAATTTCAACTTGAAACATTCCACACATATAAAGACCATAAAGAGAATAGTTTATAGTACCTATAAAATTTGAAAAATAAAATCTTGTGTCATTTTTCACACCTATCTTCAAGCACATTGATTTTTTTAAATATTGTTCGATAATTTTCTTTACCCAAATTCGATCTATTAAACTTTTGAAAACGGCATTTGATACGTTCTGATGTACTCTTTCGGATAAAACTACTATCGGCTTGTTCTGTCCTGCTAATCCGACTAACTGGTATAGTCCACAAGGTTATGCTTTCTAAAAACAGCATATCATACCAACGAAAAAAATACTAGTCAAATGGGACCACTTTCAATATCAAGAAAAGATGGTCCATCATTGATAGTATTGATAGTAAAAAACGACTCTGGTAGAACTCATCGTTCCTTACACAATGGAAATTTACTGAAAAGTATTGCATTTCAAGATACACCAAATTTATCAGATTATCTATACTTGTAACATCTATTTTCCCAGAATGCCTCTCAGAAAACTTAAAATAAAATTTTATTCTGAAATTTATTTTACCAAAACATACGCTGATCATAGTGTTTAGAAATATTCTTACTGAGCCATTCTGCGATATGAAATAAACTTGAACCCTCTGCCCAAACAGCGTTTGCGAAAGGTAAAGCTGAAAATCTGCGACAGTCATAAAAGACTATTTTCGATCAAAATTTTCTCGTCTGCGAGCCACTCATTATTTATTCAGCAAAAGCATCTTATTCAAAGTATTCATATGGAATTGCTCTATTTTTCGCTGAAAAACTTCAAAAATTTGCATTACATTCTTCAATAACTATTATAATTCGCTGAAATTCTTCATCTTGGTAAATCTGAAGAGTGACATGGCTAAATAGAGAAGTCCATTATCAATTCTTTTTTATGAGACATCATGGATGATTAAGAATTTAGCAAGATTAAAGTAATTCATTGTCAAGCAGTTATATTCGCAAGTCAAACTCACATACTGAACAAATTCTAGGCTATTAAAATTCTGTAAAAATTAGTGTTCACAATTTTTTTTCTATCCATACTTTTCATTCAAGACACAAGCATTCATCCGAATAACCACAATTACAATGATATTGTTTGACTAAGTCTGTTTTATGGTAACCCTTTTTTCATGCCTCGTAGTTTGTTACTGTTTAGAAACAGTTTTAATTCGACTGTTTTATTGACAAGAATTACTAAAACTATTGATTTTAAACTCTCTTTTAATCAAAACATCTAAATGTAGAAATTATAAAAAAATGTATTTTTAAAGTAATTTAAGATGTTTGTTTATTTTTAGATTGGTGAAGAGGAAAGAAAACGTCCTTGTCTTTCTTTTGAGCGGTAGCGAGTGGCAATGACAAGAGAGAACACAATTATACTTGAAAGATACGCATAAGATCGGTCATTATTAGAAGATGTCTAATATATCATAGGAAACATTTTGAATACCGTTCACATGTTTATGATCGGCGGGATATTGACACGGAAGTTATAAAATAAAACAGGTTCATCACTATCGAGTACGAAGTCAAGCATGATCAGACAAATACAAAAATGTCATCGTTCCCAACTGTTGAACGATTCAAATCACTTTACGGAAGAAAAAAAAGCTGAATACCTGCGCTATAGTTTGATCAAACGGGCTGCTATTTTTTGCCACTGATAAAAAAGTGTTCATAGATCATATTTATAAGAAAAACATTGACAAACACCGCTTTGAAGTTTCATTGTTAACTTCAATAGAAAAAATGTAATGTTTCATGATCTATGGAAAAATCATATTGTAGTTTTCACAACAAGCCCTTACTGTTTTTAGTTGAAACTTTCATGATACAATGAGTAACAAGACATGTATTTGTGATATCGATTTGACGTCGAACGACAATAGTTTGGAGAATCAATACAAACACTGATGCATGGTTTACTTTTGACTAACGAAACAGCTGTATTGTTTTTTTTTATAACTCATGAAAGGTTACAGTTTATTGTCAGAGTTAACAATGGTAAAGTGACTTTTGGGCTACGCTGTACATGTGGGAACCACAAAGATTTTTAAAAAAATAAGATTTCGATAAATCGTAATGATAAGAAATATACGTACTGAGTAGATGGTTTGACTTTTATTTCTTTGCTGACTTGGTGCTACTTGTTTATGAAAGAAACGGCTCAAACTCACACTTAATCGTCGTCCTCGCTCCATCAATATTCACGCTTTTTATTTATCGGATGTGCGTGTACGAAATATTCTTCTCAATAGAACAAATTTGTTATATGCCTTTTTTTCTTTCGAATGAAATCAGTAGACGACGCGAATCGATTAAGTGTAGAATTAAATGCCAGAAGCCACATCAAAGAATGTTTATAAATGAAAAAGGATGAAGGTCTTTGTTCGTCACATATCCTTTGTCTCCTTTTTCTCTTCAGTGTAACACTTCACCTAGTCTCGTTTCTTTTTGTTTTTCTTTGCAACAAAAAGAAGCTGTAGAAAAAACTTTCTATTGTTGTTAATAGAACTCGAAAAGATTTTTGTTACATTGTCGACTTTATTTTCATGCATAGATAAAATGGCTTCGATTAGATTCTAATCCAAAAAACGTTTTGCAATGCTACTCTACCCTACCCCAAGATAGGATGCCATTGTGTATACGTGGGTGATATGTGAAAACAATAAAGAATTACATCCCAATACACCTTCTAGAAACCTCCGCCAACCGAATCTTTACATTAGGTATCATATCTATTGCTTAATATTTCGAATGAGACTAAGTCATAAGTATTCGATGGGATGTTCTTTTATTGATATTCATCAACTTTCTTTCCAAAATTAACAAATTCATCATAACGATTAATAAGTTCAGAGCGCTAGTAGATACAGAACAGAGATGTCCATCGCGGCTCGAAATCTGCGGCTGCCGCGCCGCGATGATTTAAAAAAATTTTTTTTCTCCCGCGCCGCGACGCATTTGCAAAAAGGGTGCCGCTGCTGCGCCGCTGCCACGATGGTACTCGAAAAAAAGTTTCGAATTTCATTGCTGTGAATGTATTGAAATACAATTCTTGTCACTAATCGATGAGATTCATTGAGTCTTAGAGTGTTACGTATGTGGACACTAAATTTTTGTGCAAATTCATGCAGTTTTTGCAATGTCTTCCAGAAATAAGGTGCCACCGCCGCGCCGCGATGCTTTTTCAAAAAACCTTGCCGCGGTAGCGGCAGCACCGCGATGGACATCTCTGATATAGAATTGTGTTCATAAGTGTGAAATTTAGATAATTATTAAATCAACAAATGGATTCCCTTTTATATGTAATATGTATTTCTTAGTGAATTGGATATTGAACTATTCTTGTCTTAGAGTCCATATCAGATGCAATTTCCATATTTTATTCATCTTGCCATTAAACTTCAACTCAAGTTCAAAAAGAGTTTTCAAGTCAAGATTTTTTTCATGAAATGATCGAAATATCTTTCGTATAATTTCAAGAATCATTTAATAAATGACATATAGAAAAGCTTTTTGTCAAGCAGAACTAATTAGTTTTTTCCATCTGACAATTCAAGCGTCAAAAAAAAATACATACTCTGTATTGGATTGAGTACCTGAATGATGAACAAAGTTTAAGGTGTTGGTATGAATGTATTTGTTCCTCTCCGCCCTATTCCAACGTTCACACCACATCCTTTCACCTCTCATAGTCCAAGCGTCAAATAGTCCAACAAATTATTATGTAAGTTTTGAATACAAGAAATAGATGATTCGTTTTATTAATTGAGT